CCCCCTCTCATGCAGCCACCTTCTGATTGCCTTTCGGGGGAATTCTGTCTCCCCCATTCTGGTGCTTCTGGGTGAGTTGCTTATTTATTAGGTTTCCCTCCCCTCCTCTGACTAAGAGATGGCCTCACCGGATGCTCCCAGCTGTGTCCTCAACCCTGGTCCTCAGCCTCCACAGCCCCTCAATAAAGTCCATGTGCTGTGGCTGCCCAGCATTGGTTCCCGTTTGTAATTTTGTTCGCTCTGCAGTGGCTCAGCAGGACTCTTCAAGCTGTGTGTGTCTCCCCCTTCACCTGCAGGGGGTGGCCTAGCCTCAAGGCGGCCAGTTGTGGGTGGCCATTGAGTTGGCGACTTCTCAGCCTGGCCTCTGTGGACAGCTGCTCAGCGCTGAAAATAGGACTTGCCCCCAAACCCGACAGACTCTGGTGCTGGGAGTCTTGGGCTAAGTGCGCTGTCATCTGCTTTGACTTTCCCTAAGGTGTCAGCTGGCAAATTCTAGCAGCCTGGCCTGCTGCTCTCCTTGCTGTTGTCCACAGATGACAGCTCCTGATGGGGACTCTGGGTCACCTGACGTCCATGCAGCGTCTCGGCCGTCAGCGGAATTGAAATCCCCTCCTCCCCTTTAACTGGAGCAGTGGAGCAGCTTCCTGTGCTGTGTCCAGGGTGGGTCAGTTCAAGCCTGACCCTTTGCGGTCAGCTCGAAAAAGTGAGCAGCCTGGTGAAATTGTTTTAAGCAGGAGGCGTGTGCTCAGGCGAGTGTGTGTGTGTGCGTGTGTGAGCATGTGTGACTTTCTTGTTGTTCATAAAGCATGCAGATACATATGTGTGTCTGTTTTACGAGTTTTACTGTATACTTAACACTGTTGAACTATATTGTGTGTCATCATATGATGTACTTGTGGGTGCTGATCTCACACTATTTTGTTGTCCATAGATGCTCATATTTAAACAAAACCCAAACCACAGATTAACAGGGCCTGGCTGGCCACATTTTCCTGCTAAAATGTCTATCCTTGGGGACAGTTTCCATCAAATTCCCTCCTGTGACACAGCTTGTCATCCGTGAGGGGTTCGCCTTCCTCATTGCAGGGCACAGAAAGAGGTTTTCAAACTTCATAGCTTATAGAGATTCTGAAAACCAAGAAAAAGTTTAAAAAAAAAATTTTTAAGTTTTCCTGGGCGGGTGGGGTTGCTTGGATTTCGGTGCCCCGGGCCCGTTTCTGTCTTCCTTCTCTCCGTGGCCCACATGGGGCCCCAGCAGCACAGCCTCGTGCTAGCACATCCATCTAGTTGTGGGGTAGGCCGCTCTCGGCCCCCTGGACGGTCCCCTGAGCCCAGGACAGCCCCTGAGATGCAGGCGCTGTGGCCGTGACTCCCTGCTGGGTGCCAGGACTTTCCCGACAGCTTGCGGCCAGGAGGGAGTTGGCCAGCACCCCCCTCCCCGACCCTCGCGTGGATTTTCCAGTTCTTCCAAAGACCTAAGTTGTTCTCAACAATAGACTTTTTTTTTTAAGTTTTGGTCTTTTTCTTTTTTTTTTTGTAAGATTTATTTATTTATGCATACAAGAGCTGGGGTACAGGCCAGAGGTGTGGGAGGTGAGAGGATTCACCAGAGACAGAGTGGGGAGCAGAACAGGCAGATTGACTCAAGTACACTGCTAAGGGGAGCAGCGGGCGAGTCAGGAGAGGTCTGCTGCGCCATGTGGGTAGCTCCCTGGCCCGGGATCAAACTCATGCTGCAGAGGCTGCAGATAGCTTCATAGGTTGTGTCTTAACCCCTTGCGCCACCAGGGAAGCCCCCTCAAGGATGGACTTTTTAACGAGTCTGTGATACATTGAGCATCTAAACAAAATGAAAGTCCTTCTTCCAAAGCGTAGCAATTTCATATAAGGTACATTTGGAAACACAGTTCGGTTGCAAAAAATGTGTGGAAGCCACTGATGTCAATGAAAAGGGCACAGATTTTAGGGACCTACCCTGGACATGGGAACCCAGCTGCCCTTGCTGCCTGAGTGTGGCCAGCGGTCACCCGCCTCTCCAGCTGTCACGGTGCCCTCTGCCCAGGTTGCTGTCCAGCCAGCATGAAGTGGACACCACAGAGGTGTCCAGGGGGCCTAGCTCAGTGTCTGACACGCGACAACAGGTCAACATGGGGCACTTATTTTAATGCTATTCAGGCTGAGAATGAGGGCGCCATGCTCAACACCCTTACGAGCAATCTCTTCATGCTTTGGACACGCGTGTGTTTCACTGTCTTGCATCTAATTGCGTATTTACTGAGCTGGTGAGTGGAGCACATGCGTGTCCTGGTAAATAATTTTTTCAGCTACTGAGAGTATTTTAGCTGACTGCAGAGACACATTTCTCTTGTGGATACATCTTTGTAGCAAATGGAATTCATTTCCTTTTCATTCCTTTTGAAAGCGTGTGGGGGCCTTAGTGTCTTATAGTTGTTTTGTTGTAGAAAAAAAATACAAAGGCGGCAGCCAATGGGAACTGCTTTCATGCATCGGACTTCAAAATGCTGCTTTGGATTGATGTGTGGGCTCTTTGTGGGTGGACGGCAGACATCCCCGCTCTTGGAAGTGTTTTTAAGCCCCCGGGAAACTCCATAGGGGAAAAGGAGCTAATTAAAAAAGCTGCCCTCCGCCTCCTCTAATTAACTTGCTCTCCACTCCTGGGAGAGGGTGTGGAACTAGGAAACAGTGCGTGCAGCGCCGGAAGTGAATGGTGTTCTTGGGGTCCACGATGTTTTGACGCAGCAGTGGTTCCTAGTAAACACGCAGAGACCCACAAAGGCGCCTGGTGTGCCCTCCCCCTCCCTGGCGCTGCCTCCCCCAGGGGGCAGGGGTGGGGGTGTGAATGGTGGTCCCTTCCGCACTGGAGCAGGTGTGCCCCGGGCAGCTGCAGCAGGGGAGACCTCATTGGAATTCAGCAGCTTGAACCCGGGGACATCCGGCCCTCCCTGTCGCTTGCTTGTGCTGCTGGGAAGGAGCAGGGGCCCTTTGTGCACTAAAGCGGCGCATCGTGGGGCCCAGGGTTGCAGAAACCTCCGGACTAGAACTAGCCTGCAGCCTCCCCTCCATCTCTCTGCCGGATGCTGGCGAGCTCACGCCCTCCCTGGCTGGTGATGCTGCTAACTTTTTTGGGACATCAGAAGATTTAGATCCCAGAGATACTAACAGAGGAGTTAGGGGTTGGAGTTGGGGGGAGGGGAGGAGAAGCTGTTCTTCCCCGGAGATGGCTTTTGCCTCCTGGAGAATGTGGGCTCCGGTGGAATGGGCCCGGTGGATGTGGACCACGGTGACCAGCAGCGGGGACCCCAATCTGCTCGTCCAGGAGAGCAATGGAGAAAGGCAAGTGGGCTCCTTGTCGCTTCCCAGTCTGGCTGATCCAGCCTCTTGTTCTGTGTAATTTCTTGGGTTTTTCATACCGGTAAGCAGACTTTGCAAAACTTCAGGTACCCAGATCTCTTGTCATTTGAGTGGGGGTTCAGTTCTCCCCCTGGAGCCAAGCGATGGCCTTTAATATTAAAGCGAGTCTGTGAGAAGTCAGCGTGGCCCCCGTGGTGTCTGCATGAATTAGTCTTGACGCATGAAATTTGATCGTGTGTAGGTTTCAGCGCATTGGATCCTGTTGGAGGCAGCTCTGGTATCTCTGTCCGCCTCTTTGGTCCCCTGGGGGGCTTTGTGGCCAAGGTCCTGGGTTAGGGGGTAGGCATGCGGTCTTTGGCATTGATGGTGTGAGTCACTGACACACCGGTGGTAAAAGCAGCATCGATGTTGACTTTCCAAAGCATCCTCTAGCGGCTTCTTCCTCAGGCCTGGCTGGGGTGGTGGCACAGCTTGCATCCCGGGTCTCACCACTGGCTGGCAGAGGGGCTTTGGAAGATGCTGGTCCTTTGACCCTGGGGGACTCGGCAGTGTGAGTGTTTCCACTCCATACTCCCCTGACACACACCTTCTGAATATACGACCTCACCTGGGTTTTGCCCACTGGGTGCTCTGCCAGCAGAGCTCCCCTGCCACCCTCGAGAATTACCTTCTTCGAGGCATTTGCTGCTGTGTCTCTGCATCTGGGCTCCTCAGAGCAGGTTTGGGCCAGGACCATGCAATGGGCATCTCAAGCCTGCTGGCCTGAGGACACAACCTGGGCCTGGTGATCTGGGGAGGCCTCATTGATCTGGCTTAAGATGGAGGCCCCAGAGAGGGCGACAGAGCTGTCTGCTCTGGGTTTCCTGAGCCCAGATCAGGGCTTCAGTTTGGGGAGCAGCCTCCCCTTATTCCTGGGTGTGGTGTCCTCTGGGGGGAGCTTTGGGCCTCTTTTCTGGGTGAAGAGCACCCTGGAGAGCAGCCCAGTGAGGGCTGTCTCAGTGCCGGGGGTGACCAGCCAGCGTGCCCTGGCCTGGCACGTCCTCCAGCCGACTGGTTCCCTCCTTCATGCCCCGCCTGCGGGTGCGGGCTTGGGAGGCCGTGATGAAAAGGGCCGCTGGCCTCCGTGCAGGAAAAAGATGCCACGATTAGAAAGTGGCTGTCTATAATGACAAGCCCAGGGAAGGGGAAGGGGCGGCATCGTGGGAGAAAGGTGGAGGAGCCCCATGAGGCTCAGTCCCACCCAGTGGGGATCCTGTGGGGGTGTTGGGACCCCAGACTGCAAAGAGCTCCCTGCAGTGCCTCCACAGCCGTTTGGCAGAATGGGAGCCAAATAATGTGTGCCAGAGTTTTCCAGAAGATTCCGCTGCATTTGCCACTGAGGCCAGAGATGTGTGTTTTGAGAACAGATCTTTTGGGCACAAAGCTGGGGATCGTGAGACTCACGCTGGGGAACCAGGCTGTGGAATGGCCTTCCCTGTGTCTGTCTTCTGCCCCCAGCAGGGTCGCGAGCCTGATGCCCTGGCCCAGGCAGGGTCGCATCCACACCACTGAGGAACCTGGGCTTTGAGCCCTGGGCAGAGGCAGCCCTGGCCCTCCTCACCTTCTCTTTCCCCCTCTCTCTCCTCCAGGAGCTCTGACTCTGAAGAAGCGTTTGAGACCCCGGAGTCCACGACCCCTGTCAAAGCTCCGCCAGCCCCACCCCCACCGCCCCCCGAAGTCATCCCAGAACCTGAGGTCAGCGTACAGCCTCCCCCGGAAGAACCAGGAAACCCAGGTACCCCAGGGTCAGGCCTCGGTGCGGAATGGCGGAGGCCCAGAGCAGCCCTTGGCTCAGAGGGACTCCTGGGGTGGGAGGGTCCCGCCCGAGGGGGCTGGGGCTGATGTGGGTGCAAGCTGCTGGTCAGCAGGTGCAGCCAGGTACAGCTGAGAGTCTCTTTTGTTTTGCAGAAATTTGGGGGAGTCCTCTGCAGAAACCACTCCTTTAGCTCGAGCTGTCTTTGCTTGACACTCAGAAGCAGTGTTGAGTGGGAAGTGGGTGCTGGAAGGTTCTATCTTGGATTCTAATATTTTGCCCCTTGGTTCCCGCCTGTGAGAACCCTGCATCTGGCCAGCCCGGGTGGACCTGCATTTTTAATAAAGAACATCCCCCCGTGGCTTGGGCATGTAGATATTGTGTAACTGGACCGGATGGCCAGCGAGCCAAGTCTGTGCGGGGAAGGTTCGCTTATTCCTCATCAAGCTCCAGTTACCTGATTTCCTTTCTGTTTCCCACATCCTTTCTCCTCCAGTGTGACATAAAACACAGGCCTTTCTGTCCCTTTCAGAAGCAGTGATGACAGGTGGTGGGAGGGCTTGGAGGGTGGGACAGATCTGTCCCCCAAGTCCAGGCACCCACCTGGCTGCTGCTCTCAGCGTGCAGCCTCCTGTGCAGACTGCCCTAGTGTGGAAGGCCACCGCAGGCCTGCAAGGAGATGGAGCTGCTCGAAATGGCCAGTTAGGGGTGGGTGGTGCCCATGCACCAGCCTCCCACAGGTCATAGCCATGACTCCATAGTGGGATGCACAGCTCCATGGTGGGGTGCAGAGCTGTTCTGCAAGATCACACTCTGGTTAACTTGGAGCAGCCATGTCCCAGGCCTGGCCCTTTCCTGGTCCATCTCCCCAGGTTGACCGTGCCCAGGTTTGCACCCTGAGCTGAGGACAGGGAGTCAAGAACAGGGTCAGGACCTTCAGGTGGGTGTCCACATACCTGTGCTTGAGGCAGCGCAGGTGAGGGGTGGAGCTTGGGTGGGAGGAGAAGGAGCAGGTGGAAGGCCGGGCCTCTATTTGTACTGGACCTGGCCAGGAGCCAGGGTGACTATAAAATAAAATAACACTTTGACCTTCATGTTGGTTTTAAGCACTGCCTTTTTTTTTTTTTTTCCCCCTAAAGATTTATTTTTTTATTTATTTATACAAGCACTGGGTACAGTCAGAAGCGCGGGAGGGTGAGAGAATTCACCAGAGCCAGAGCGGGGAGCAGAGCAGGCAGAAGGACCGAAGTACACTGCTGAGGGGAGCAGTGGGCGGCAGGAGAGGTCTGCGCGCCATGCGGGACCCTCCCCGGTGGCCGGGGAGCAGCCGGGGATCAAACTGGTGCTGCAGAGGCTGCAGGCAGCTTTGCAACCCAGCGCTCAACCGCTGCGCCACTGGGGAGGCCCCATGTTGGTTTTAGAAAGAAATGGGTGGCATTCTTTTTCACCTGCCCTGACTCTAAATAGACCATTGTTTTGGGAAGGGTTGACACTCCCGGGACTGTATGGCTCAGCAGAGATGACCCCTGGGACTGGGAAGAAAGAACGGGCCTGTGTTTAGGGGGAGCAGCTGCCTTTGCTGGGGCGACGCCTGGCCGCCACCAGCCTGGAGGCCCACACGGCACAGCAGTCTAGGTGCTAGGCTCTGAGAAGTAATTACTGGAATTTATTTGGTTTGAAAAAGGTGAAGAAGTCAGGGCTGCTTCCATTTTTCAGAAAGCTTTGTAATCCCACTTTCTTTCTGGTAACAGAGCATCAAAAAAATTCCTTTCCTGTATCATTGTGAAAATTTTGCCCTTTGTTTTTCATGGAAAGTGGCCAAATGACAAATTCATCGTGGCCCCTAGGTCAAATGTAGTTGTGAATAAACTGTCCGTTTTTGTGCGTAGGAGAGTGTTTTCTTTTATGGGCAGCTGCCAGATTCTCCATGTCCCCACCCAAGGTGCCCAGCCCAGCACCCGGGCCCTCTGGACCCTCTGGTCAAGCTTGGGGACCTCGCTGCATTCAGCAGTAAGCTCAGCGAGCCCTGACACTATCCCAGGCTGCTGGCACCCCACATTACACGGCTTAGGGCCTGTTACCCCAGGGAGGACAGGGGGCTAGCGCAGACCCCAGTGCTGGCCTGTTATAGCTGACTTTTGATAACAAGAACAGACAAGGGCACCACTTGGCAGCATTTTCTTTGCCATGGGCACCACTGGAGGCCATGCCTCTCATTCCGTAGTAACTGGGAAGGGGGTGCTCGGGTGGTGACCGGTTAAGGAACTTCGGTCAAAGTCGCCGAGCTGATCAAGCCAAGGTCTCAGCCGCTTTTGTCTGGCCCTGACCTCTGAGCTGGGCCTGGGGCAGCGCGGTCACGCCGGTCCTCTGTCTCCACGCTGTCTTCTTCAGCTCTTTCCCTGAACTGCCCTTTTTGTGCTCACAGTGATGTTGCAGGGGGAACAAGGACGATGAGAACACAGAAGCTGAAAGGCTGGGTTGGGGTCCCCATCACAGCATGTTTACCCATGACCCCAGCGTGTCCCTCTCCCCACCACTTCTGAATGGGGAGCCTTCGTGCTGCTGCGGGGTCCCCAGGCAGGACAGCGAGGATGTGAGGGACGGGGAGCAAGAGTTAACAAAGCAGCACAGAGAGGTGGCATTTGGGGTGCCAGAGGCCCGTCAGGACCCGGCACACGCTCCAGCTTTACTCCTGGGTGACGTCACATTCTGCCTCCCCACAAAGCCCTCCTCCGGCTGCCCCATCCATGGGTTCCGGTGGGAGAACATGTTTTCATAGAGGATGTGTCCGCCTCTGAGGGGTCTCCGTGCTCGATGGCTGACGGCACCCACACAGCGCAGGGCCCTCCTTAGCCATCGGGAGCTGAGTGGCGGGTTGAGAGCACAGACAGGTGAGAGAAGAGCAGGTGCCCAGGAAGCACCGGGCACTGACCCACCAGGCTCGGGGCCTGGGCCCAGCAGGATGTTTAAGAAAATCTGGGTCTGGGGTGGGTGACGCCACCTTCACAAAGACCTCCAGCCCCTGAGGCTGGTCCCGTTGGGGCTGAGGGCCCACCTGGACTTCCTGCCTGCCACATCCACCCACCTCCACCTTGCGGACACAGGTAATCGAAGCTCAGCCAAGCCAACCCACATTCACCCTCCAAATCATTTCTGTGGCCAAATATTAAAACCATCCCCTGGAGATTTTAAGAAGTAGGATAGGATCTGACAGGAGGTGGGTGAGGTAAGCAACCCAGTCCTGATTTCCCTGCTCCTGAAGCCCTCTGTGGCACCTGGGAAAATGGGGGTTCGGAGCCCCACGCCAGGAGGAGTGAGGTGTGTCTTAGATGGGCAAGTTAGGGAAGTGTTGGATTCATCGGGGGCTCGCTCTGTGCTGTCCGCAGAATGCCACATGAGGATGGAGGTGACGCCTCATTTGTATTGTGAGCTAATTAAAACGAAGACCTTTTCCAGAATAAACATGATCGGCTGCCGTTGGTTATTCATTGCACAGAGGGTGGAGGCTGTGCCTCCCCTTACATATTGGTTTAAGGCGGAGGTGCTGGGCGCCTGCCGTGACACCTTTGGGCCTCTGGGCCCTGGGTCCCTGCCCAGGGTGAGCTCATTGAGGGAGGAGGTGGGGGGAGGCACCGACACAGCAGAAGCCTCCAGTTCGACACAGCCTGGCACGGCTAAGTGCTGTAGCCCTCAAGAAGGGGGTGACAGACGTTGGGTGGCATCAGCTGCCCCCTTTTTGGCTTTCTCCCTTTGCTTAAAAAGTCCTCCTCTTTCCAAACCCCTCAGTTTTCTTAGCTTGGGAATGTTACAGCTAGTGCTAGTGTTGTGGGCAGCCTGGAGGTCTTCCCCAGTTCATATGATGAAGCTTAACCCTCGGGTGACTGTGTTTGAAGACACCTTTAAAGAGCAACTAAGATGAAACGGGGTGATGGGGGTGGGGCCCTAATCTGATGGAACTGGTGTTCCCGTGAGAAGAGGAGGAGACTCCAGGATGTGCCCGCGTGGACACATGGTTCTCTGCAAGCCCAGGAGAGAGACCTCCAGAGAGGTCAGCCCTGTGGATGCTGTGGTCTTAGAGCTGCAGAGCTGGGACAGAGCCATGTCTGTCAGTTATCTAAGCCCGGGGTTTGTCTGCTTGTTTGGTAACCCCAGCAACTAACACAGCCAGGAACCTCCTAGTTAAGCTTTGCATTTCGTGGACCCAGGATGCTGAATTTGGCATCAGATTGACTAGAAGCTGGAGCCAGGGTGGCGCTAGTTACTAGGTCTGCACGGCCGTAGTTTGGAGGTTAAGAAACAGTGAGATCGGGTTTCCTGGCCCACGATGATTTAATTAGGAGACGTCAGTTCTAAAGTGGAAAGGCGCGTTGAGCAGGCAGAGAGCTTTTCTTCTGGGGAGACAGTGAGCAGATGGTTAAGCTGAGGATCTGCTGAGGCTGCACCTTTCCAGGGCGCCTGACATTGAGGCCCCAGGTTCCTTCTGGGCGGTGGAGGCCCGGAGCAGCTTGGCAGAGGGGGCTGTGGGCTTGGAAACACCGGGCTGGGCTGAGGCCCCTCTTCCTGCAAGGCCCACTGAGGGCACCTGGGCCTCTGCATCCCTGGTCCTTCCGTGCCCGTCTGCCATGTCTCGGGCAGGGAGACCAGGAACTGTTGATGGAGGAGGGGGTTCATGAGGGAATAGGAAAGCAGTTGATTTTAACAAGAAGGGGGGACACCCCTTCTTTTGAGTTGGGAGGGAAGCAAGAGGGCCTTGGAGACGATGAAGGAATCGTTTCGTGGAGAAAGAGCTACAAGCAAAGCTGAGACCTTCAGGGCAGAGCGCCATCTTCTGGGCCATCTGCTCCCAGTGGGGCTTGGTGGCACTGGGTGCAAAGGGAGAGGAAGGCTCGATAACGACTGGCCAATAGATGCACTTCCAGAAGGGGGTGTCAGTGACAGGGGTGTTTATGGAGCCTGCAAGAGTTGTGGCACATCCAGCACAAGGGCAAACCAGGCCAGCCCCCGAGCTCAGGAGGCCTGGAGTTCCCTGGTATGGGCATCACCTGGTAGCTCTTCGTGGACAGGAATCCTCTGCCCAGGGCTTCAGGCAAAGTTTGGAAAGAGCCACACAAAATACCCACCACCTGCGATTTGCAATGGTGGCATGGGCCTCCCTGAGAGAAACTCCAGGGAGAAGCCAGATTGGGTTTGATTATTTCCCAAACCTTGTTTGGTTTGGGAATTAAGAATGGGGCTGCCAGGCTCAGCAACTAAAAAGACAGGACGCCTGGTTAAACTTGAATCGCAGATAAACGACAAATCACTGGGAATTGGGACATACTCATCCTAAAAAGCAGATTCATTTCTCTGAGATTCACATTTCAGGGAGTGGCCTTTGCATCTGGCGACTGTAGCCGTGGGGTGGGGGTGGGGGGTTAACTCCTGTCCACGTTACCCACTTTGGGAACTGTCCCCAGGGACACACGCATCCTTGTCCCTCGTTCTCCTGCGCGAAGGCCTGCGGGCTGCTCTGGGGCGTTTGGCCTCCTCTGCTAGCAACATGTTTTTGGTTGACTGGCCAGTCTCTGTCCGACATGCTAACTCCCTGGGACAGCTGCGAACCCAGAAATGCGTGCAGGCCACCCCTGGTGCACAGGGGCCCGGAGCGGGTGGGGTCAGGGGTGGTGGATGAGGTTTGGCCAGCTCCTGGAATCTCTGCAGGGGTTGGGAGAGGGAGTGGTTCCTGGGTGGGCAGAGGCCTTGGAGACAGAGAGAAGTTGGGAGGAGGCAGCAAAGTGAGACAAGATGAGAAGGGGAGGGGCAGGCAGGGCTGGAGGGAGGGACTCCAGGCTGCGGCTGGGGGTTGGGGGTGGCAGCTCCCCCTCATTCCTCACAGTGGCCCAGAGCAGGCTTGGTGATGATGTAGCGAATAGGAAGCGCAGGCTTATGATGCTTTACTTGGATTTTCTCCATCTGTGTCCCCTGCCCCTCTCCCTTGCTTTAGCTGCACCGGCCATTCGACATTTCTGTAGCCTCCAGGCCACTTTTTACCCCAGGACCTTTGCTCTTGCTGTTCTCTCTGCTAAGGACGCTTCCACGCAGCTGTCCTCCAGGCTCACCCTTGACTTTGTTTCTGGTCTTGCTGAGATGGCTTCTCCTTGGAGGACCTGGCCCAAATCACCTTATTTTAAAATTGTGACGCTCCCTCCCCTGACTTCCTCAGCCCACCTGATGTTTAGCGCTTGCTCCTGGATCTTCTTCTTCCCTGAGGGACTCACGTCCAGGAGGGCAAGGGTCCTGTCTCTGGTTTCATTGTTGAATCCCCAGCGGCCATAATAGTCCCTGGTCCCCATTGGGCCCCTGGCAAATGGTGTTTGATGACAGGATGACCTGAGCTCTTCCTTAAATGGCCCTTAAGGCTCCCCTTCTCCAGTGGGGGCGACCGAGGGTGAAGCCCGCGCAGGGTCTGGCACTAAGAATGGTGGGAGCAGCGTGCCGGCCAGGGCTGGGCTGGGGTGCCCAGTTTAGAGGGGAACCTTCCAGCATGCAGTGAGCCGAGCTCCAGCGTCCCGTGTCCTTGAGTGACGGCTCTGTCTCCCTCTCCTCAGGATGCGCTCCTGAGCCCGTCCCCGTCCCCGATGGCCCACAGAGCCGCTCCCTGGAAGGAAGCCCTTTCCGGCCCCCCTCGCACTCCTTCTCTGCCGTCTTCGATGAAGACAAGCCCATAGCCAGCAGCGGCACTTACAACTTGGACTTTGACAGCATCGAGCTGGTCGACACCTTTCAGACCTTGGAGCCTCGCCCCTCGGACTCTAAGAGCCAGGAGCGCAAAGCGAGCGCGCGGAGGAAGTCCACGGACTCCGTGCCCATCTCCAAGTCCGCCTTGTCCCGCTCGCTCAGCCTGCAGGCCAGCGACTTTGATGGTGCTTCTTGCTCAGGCCACACGGATGCCGCGGCCCCGGCCCCGGACGCGTACGGCACGGGCTCGAGCAGCGCTTCCAGCACCCTTAAGCGAACTAAAAAACCCAGGCCGCCTTCCTTAAAAAAGAAACAGACCACCAAGAAGCCCCCAGAAACACCCCCTGTGCAGGAGACACACCAGGAGCCAGCCGAGGAGAGCCCCCCTCCCAGCGAGGACGCCCTAGCACCCGAGACAAAAGCAGAGTCAGCTAAAGCGGAAGGTTCTGGACCCGCCTCGTCGGAGGAGGCTGCCCTCGAGCCTGCCACCGTGCCCCAGGCTGCCTGCCCTCCGGACTCAGAAGCTGCGGAAGAGGCCGTCCCCCCGGCCTCTGGAGGTGGCGCCGTGCAGAACTCACCCCCCATTGGGAGGAAAGCGTTGCCTCTGGACACGGCCCCGGAGGCAGTGGAGGTGCCCCCATCCGATAGCGGGGGGCAGGAGGACTCCCCAGCCAAAGGGCTTTCGGTGAGGCTGGAGTTTGACTATTCTGAGGACAAGGGCAGTTGGGACACCCAGCAGGAAAACCCCCCACCTACCAAAAAGCCAGGCAAGAAGCCGGTGGCCAAAATGCCCTTGCGGAGGCCAAAGATGAAAAAAACACCCGAGAAACTGGACAACACTCCTGCCTCCCCCACCGGCTCCCCTGCCGAGCCCAACGACACCCCTATGGCTAAAGGTACCTATACCTTTGATATTGACAAGTGGGACGACCCCAATTTTAACCCCTTTTCTTCCACCTCAAAAATGCAGGAGTCCCCCAAACTGCCCCAACAGTCGTACAGCTTTGACCCGGACGCCTGTGATGAGTCCGTGGAGCCCTTTAAGACACCCTCTAAGACCCCCAGCTCACCTTCCAAATCCCCAGCCTCCTTTGAGATCCCAGCCAGCGCCGCGGACGCCAGCGGAGTGGATGGGGATGGGCTGAGCAAGCCTGCCAAGAAGAAGAAGACGCCCCTAAAGACGTAAGTTCAGGGGTGCAAATGGTAACCCTCACTCCAGGGCCTGGACAGCCTGGGCCACCCTAACCACCCCCCACTTACTGTGACGACATGTCTGGCCAGTCCCACGCAGGCCAGACACCTGCTCTCCTTCTCTGAGGCCCTCATGGGGGCATCTCCCCACCCACATGACCCTTGGGCCTAGAATCCTTGGCCTTTTGCCTAAGTAGGTCACTGGTGTAAAGCTTTTCGTTTAGCTAAAGACCTGACACTCAGCTCCAGGGAAGTGTGGACAAGGCCATAAAAAAGGGCCAGCTTCCCTATTGGCCCCTCACTTTTGCCCCTGATTCGCAAAAGAATTGCCTTTCAGAATGGCCTAGAAGCTAGGAGATAAGCCCTTTAAAATCGTGTCAGATGCATAGCCGTGGTTTCTGCCCATGGACGACACAGCCTCCCAGAAGGCGACCCCAGTGATCGGCAGGTCCAGCCTGGGCCCCTGGCTGCCTGGGCCCCAGTGCCGGAGAAACACCCGCTTGTCCGCACCCTGTTCTCTAGTTATCTCTGCAGACAGGAGCCCACAGGTTCTCTTGGTCCAGCAGAGGTCAGTGGAAGGGAAAAGGAGAGGCTAACCCTACAGCCCCCCGGGGGTCGTCCACAGTCGGGTCTGTGGTCCACAGACGCTTGCGAAGAGACTGTCCTTAAACGCCAGCGTCCACTCCCACCCCCAGCTCTGACTTGTAGGGCTCAGGGCCGCCTCGGGACTTTGCTCCCCAGATGCCTGAAGACTTTGCCCTCACTCTCACGTGACTAAATGTAGTCAGCATTTAACACGCCTTTGGACGCCCGACTTCCTGGGCCTCTCAGCAGAGCCGACGGCTGCCGGGCCCCCTGCCACGACTTGGCGGGAGTGGACTCAGGGCGGCCTGCTTATCTCCCGTTCTGGGGTCCCTGGAGCATTTCACATTGAGAGGTACTGGGGTTCCTGAGGAGAGGTGCTTTAAGCCACCCTGCCGCTGCCTGGGGGCCTGTGGAGGGCCCCAAACTGTGGGCCAGACTAGAATCTATTTAAGGTTTTAAGGTTCAAAGAAAAAATCTGAAACACCCAGAGCGCAAAGATTCCGTTTTGGGGGTGAAAGTTAACTTGTAGCCACTCCCCACACCCTCCCCACAGAGGCCTGTGCAGCCCTTTCTCTCATTAGAGCTCGTGGAGGACAGGAGGAGGAGGTCTCCCCTCCAGCGCTGCTGGCTTGGACCCCTAAAGGCTCTTTGAGCGCCAGCACTCCATGGGGTGATGGAACCAAGAGAGGAAGGTGCCAGCCGTTGGGCTGTTGCCCTGACCACCCCTGTGGACGGCTGCTGTATCCTAACCCACAATAACCAGATGCCTGCAGATGTATCTATTTTGTCAGTTCCTTCTGTCTGTCTCTCTTTTTCTTTGTCTTCTTGTCTTAGGATGGTTGAAGATGTGATGTCTGTGTGTTCTCTGTTGTAAGTAAATTTAATGGGCTCTGCCTCTCACGCTCCATGTGCTTTATCCTGCCCTTTTGTTTGGTTTTCGCCTTCTTTTCATTTCCTCTCCACGGCTGCTACTCACATTTTCTGTGGCGGGCTGGGAAAGACAGGCGTGGGGCTTCCCAGGAGCCGAGGCTTCTCCTGTTTCTAGCCATTAGCATACGTGCAACCGCTTGGCTGGGAGAATGTGGCCGTGAACTCTGCCTGCCGGCCCGGAATGGAACACCCCCCCTTCCGTATTGGGTGTCTTCGTCCCAAACCACCTTTTTTTTTTAAGCGCTCACTCCATTCTTGCATTTTAAATTGGACTCCTGGGCAGTAGCTTTCAGCAGTGCTGTGGCTTTGCATGAAACACCCCCCCCGTCTGTCCACCCGTGGTGTCTGCGTGGCTTGTCCTTGCAAATGTGCGTAGCAGACCTATGCGGGCTGCCCCTAAGGGAATCTCTTGGGAGACCCCTGAAATGCAGGGTCACCCCAAAGTGGAGCTCAGGATCAGACTGGGTACTGGCCTGTCAGCTGTGGGTGGAAGTAGGGGGCCACTTTTGTGCCTTGCCCCCCAGGAGGAGGGACCTCATGGGCAGCTCCCAGGGGTCCTCATGGGTGGCCCTTTCTCTGCCCCTGCTTCTTACAGGGAAACTGACCTGGTCGCAGGCACCCGCAGACCCGGGTGAGGGCTGACTCTCTCAGGCTCACTTCTGCCCCAGGGATGTCTTCAATTATTTTAGACTCATGAACAAAGCTAAAAATACACATTTATATATTAATATGCATGAATAAATGTATGCTGCAAGCTGTGATCGCACGGTTCAGATGGCAAATGCCATCGACGCTGTAAATAACCACTTAGGGTATTTCCACGACCGATGCCATTGTTGGGGTGCTTTGTGTGAGAAAACATGAGGAAGGAGCTTGAGGGCCAGATTGGCCTATGTCTAGAGCAGGGAGGTAGTGGGATCTAAGGTAAGGGGCTCCCCCAGACCCTTCTTTTGGGGGGCAGAGCCATCCCACAGAGGATCCCGACCCAAGCAGGGGCCAGGTGGCAGGTAGGGTGAGCCCTGACCGCCCAGCCAGCTGAATGGAACCACCTGTACTACAAGCCCCTTCTGACCTGCCGGGGGTCTGGCCTGACATCCTTCCTGCCCTCCCAGCCCCACCATTATTTGTGTGAAAGATAAAGGGATAAAAGGGTCGTGAATCCCATCTGTTTGGTTCCAGAACAAGGCAGCACAGAGGTTTCTTTCTCTCCGGCTATGGAAACGCCCTGAGCGGGAGTCCATCTCTGCTGTTTCCATACTGGACGGATGACGCCACTACCTTCTTCCAGAAGCTTCCCCTGAAGGGGCGTCCACTGAGTCACCGAGTCTATTGATTCTTGTATTCAATTCCACCCTGCCCTTCAGGATCCAGTTGTCTTATTTTTTGAAACATTCATTAGTCACTGTTTTCAGCAATGGTCTTTGAGAGGTGAAAAGTGTTAACTGTGGTCAGGAGAAGAGAAAAAAACACCCTCTTCCCTGAAAAGTTCTGAGACGCTGCCCACGTGTGCTTGCACACTGGATCCACACTTAAAGACGGTCGCCGTGGCAAACTCCGCGCCATGGGCTGCGTTCTACCCTAGTTTCAGAACCGTCCCCGGCCCTGCCTTTGGTCAGAATCCCACCGAGATGTTCAGAGGGCTGGACCCCTGAGGGGGAGGAAGCTACCAGAACTTTCCTTCCCGTTCTGCTGGGTTCCTCCATCGTTAACTTCTGTGTCACTGTATCCTGTTCATGGGGGTCGAGAACCTCACTCCCTCCTTCGCCTTAGCTGGTTCAGACGTTCCTGGGTGAATCCCGATACGTGATTGTGCACGCCAAAACATTTCCTTTTAAAACAGGGACATCTGGCTAAACAGCCTCATTCTCTGGGTCAGCTCTCCAAAATGGCATCTCCTCCCGCCACCGAAGCTCTCCCTGGGGACGCCATAGCGCCAGGCTGGGCTGTCTGCACATGTCCTCAGGTTGTGGGGTGGTGAAGGGTGCAGGCCCTCAGCAGGGGCTGTGGCTGCCATCTGCTCTATGCTTCTGGAATGTTCTGTACCTGTTTGTTGTGTTTACACTCTCCGTTTTGTTTCCAGTGACACATTTAGGGTGAAAAAGTCGCCAAAACGGTCTCCTCTGTCTGATCCGCCTTCTCAGGTATGATGCTCCCGTGGGATTTATTACTTCATCGCCCACCGGGGTTGGGTGGTTTTATTCCCCACTCCTTGAGGGACTTTCCTTTCTGCTCACCATGGACAGCCCCCTCTCCTGCCTCCCACATGAGGGGATCCCTCCATGTGTGCGAGACACTTCGCTCTGGGGAAGATCAGGGTGTATCCAGATAAAACGATGCAGTAGGAACCAGGCTGGTCCCCTCTGCCCAGCCATCCTGCTGAGGATGTTCACGAATGTCAAGTTGAGGGAGAGTTGAGATAAGTGGCTATAAAGCAGAAAGAGCTGACCGTCGAGAGCGCTGGAGGCTGTAACCCACGTCGGGGTGGGGAGATGAAGGAAGTCCCTTCCCTGAGGAGGAGCGTCCTGGGCTCTCCTGTGTGTCCTTGTCTCCCTCTTACTGCTTCCTCGACCAAATATATGCCGTGTGTCCAGCCTCTGCGAACCACGGAAGGTGGTTCCCCAGTGTGGGTGCCAGGTCGTAAAGCAGGCGCGCCTCCCACCTCCCATCTGAGCCAGCGAAGCCCCAGCCAGCCCTAGTGGGTGCTGCAGAGAAGGCGCCATCGGCCGGGGAGGGGGCCTGGGGCTCCAGTCTCTGCCCTGCTCCGCCGCACACCCTCTGTGCCAATGGAGACGAGCCCCTGTCTCCCCCTCCAGCGGCAGGTGTGAGGCTTGTCTGGATGTTCACAGGTGACCCCGAAGCACGGCGTGGGCTTAACAAGCAGCCGCAGCCATGAGAGTACCAGTGGCCAAAATGTCCTTGTTTTTTTTCAAAAGTAAACAAGACGTAAGATTCTGGTTGTTTTTAAACCCATGGTCACTGCCTGGGGAAAAAAAAAACAACACAGCAGCAAAGGACATTCGTGCAGGCAAAGAATAGGTTTTCTTGGGGCCCTGGTGAACAGAGTCTGGGGTTTGGGCAGGGAGCTGCCCTGGCGAGAGGGGCCCGGGCTCGTGGGGGGCAGTGCAGTTTCAGACATGGACTGGTTGAAAAAAGAGACGGCTTCCCTTTTCCTTGCAGGACCCCACGCCAGCGGCAACCCCGGAAGCGCCGCCGGTGATCTCGGCCGTGGTGCACGCCACCGACGAGGAGAAGCTGGCCGTCACCAGCCAGAAGTGGGCGTGCATGACGGTGGACCTGGAGGCCGACAAGCAGGACTACCCGCAGCCCTCGGACCTGTCCACCTTCGTGAACGAGACCAAGTTCAGTTCCCCCTCGGAGGGTAAGCAACCCCATGCCCGGCCAGACCCCCACCCTGCCTTGCCACCACTGCCCCTAGGGAGCCCAGGGCCGGGGAAGAAGCGACCGAGCCAGCCAACTGTGCTGTGGTGCCATCCCCCAGAGCACCCCCTGAGGCTGCTGGGCCTGAAACCGGTTGTCTTTGACCAGCTGAGAGCAGCCGTGTAGATGCGTCACTGGGCACGCTCTTCCTGGGCTGTCTGTGACTCGTGTCCCCCACGATTTTAAAGAACAGCTCCAAGGGTGGATCATTCAAGCCCAGCACTTGGAGGAGGGCACCGCGCCGGATCTCTTGGTGCCGCCCCCCATCATCAGCCCTAAGACTGGTTCCCAGGGTGGCCACACTGCGTGCCAGCCCAAGGATCACCCCAGCTTGCTCACAGGAGGACCAGCCCCCGCACGTTGCTTTCCTTGAGTATCTTCATCCTCTGGGTGTCTGTTCTTAGCTCTCCACCTGACCTGTGGCTTAAGCAGCCCAGCAAGGCTCGGCTAACTAAGATATTTAAAAGTGTTACTTTTTACACTAACCCTGATTTCTCCGAAGCTGTGCATTTTCATCCGCCTGTCTTTTCTCTCATTCAGAAAGCTGATGAGCATGACTAGAGCCTTTCCTGGGGGGATGAGCCCCATGCCTGACCCTTTGGTGCTCTGACGCCCCCTCCTGGCCCTTCCCTTTGGCCCGTCTCCAGCCGTGACCCAGAACCGGGCCATCGGTCCAGCACTCTGGACTGGGACAGTTCTGTTTCCCTTTCCAACATGTTGATTTCTGGCAACTAAACACAATTGAGTGGCAATCTGGATGAGGACGGTCACGCGTGGAGACCTCATGTCCACTTCTTTGCTTCGAATCGGGGACCATAAGGTCCATGAGAGGAGCTTCCGCCCCGACCGGGAGGGCAGTGAAGTAACTGAGGTCCAGATCGTCTCATCGTCCACTTGGGATGCGTCCTCTGTGGGGGCTTCCATGGTCAGGCCTCTCGGGGGTGTACTTGGTGCCCATGAGGTTTCTGAGTGGTCAGTAGGATCCAGTTCATGCTCTGCGGGAGTCCAGATGATTGTCCACGGTTGGAAGATGAAAAGATGATCCACATGGTGGAAGCGTGGGCTGTGCGTCCCCCACAAGGGAGCCCTTGGTGGGCTCTCGGGTCAGCCCTGTGGCTGGGGCCTTTAGGAGACACAGTGACCTTCTCACTCCATCCTGACCCCGGAGTCACGGGACTTGGCTTCAACCTTTCTTCCGCCCACCTTTTTGCCTCTGTGCACACATCTGGAACTGGAGCCCCACTGGATGCATCACCTAACCTGGGACTTGGCTGGCGCTGCCCCTGGGGTACAGACATTCAGAGGGTGTTGGACAGTCCCCTGTCTCCTTCCGGAAGGCTCTTCTTTCCTCACCACTTAGGTTAAAAGTTACACATATGCTAGCAACGAGCAGTGATGGACCTGGTCGCAACCTCTTACCTTTACGTGAGGTGGGGCTTTTACCTTACGTCGTCGTCCATTTCCTCTTGCAGAGCACAGGCATCTGAACTCCCTTCTAGATCAGTCAGGAGGTGTGGAGAGGACAGTGGGTTGGCTCCCCGTCCTGGGAATCATGATCTGGTTTCAGCTACCTCCTCCTGGCTTCTCCCAGGGCTCCTTCTGGTACCCCAGAAAACTAGCATCTGGTCCCCCAAAAACTAGCAACCAGAATCAGATGAGTGTGGCTGTCCAGCCCTCTCCCTGCGGTGCCCCATATAAAGTTATCACCAACAACAGAGCAACCCTGGGCCCTTCAGCTTGACTGTACCTTCTCTGTCGAGTGGCCACCTCTCTTAGAAGTGGGGACAGTGCCACTTCCTGGCCTGCCAACTGCAGGGGGTGTGGTGTAAAGAATGGGGCTCCCCCCTCCAAGCCATCCCGTTGAGCTTAGGATTTAGGCAGTTGAGTGAGATTTTTGAAAACCAAGTTCACGCAGATGTTTCCTCAAAGTACTGGTGATCACCTAGATGATAAGCAGAGGCCTTTGTTTTTCTGCACATCTGTCCGGGCCATTTTGTAAATTATAAATGAGACCCCGAGTGACTCTGATGGGAAGTTGCAGGTCAAATTCAGCAGGGTCAGCTCCCTGGCATTGAAGCACCTGCGTGGAGCTGATGCAGATGCTTCTCTGGAAGGCCCCAGACCTCCTCACTGTTGCACTGTCCATGCTGCCTTTTGTGGGGGCACTGGGGCAGCTGGAAGAAGGCGGATAAGTGAGCTCATTGACCTCAGACTCACCCAGATTCATCTGCCAGGAAACCAGCTAAGGTTCCATGTGAGGGATTTTGCTAGGGTGAGGTGGTAACCAAAGCCGGGCACTTAATCAAGGCCCCAGGGTCTCCCAGAAACTGGACAGTGCTCCTTAGCTTATTTGGTGCATCCGTGATGGAGTATGCTTTGGGGTTAAGTAGGGACTTGGCAATAATAATGATTCTTTGGAGAAGGAGGCAGCTGATTCATTGTTACTGCCTCACATACAGTCTTTGTAGGACAATAAAATAATAGATCTGATAGAGATATATCTGGAAAAGGCCCTAGAAATCAGTGTGTCCATTACTGGCCCTCTCCTACTTCTCATTTTTAAGGTGCGAGGAAATTAAGTTTTTATAAACAATTGCTTCTGTGTCTTAAGTTGGGACAGGCCCACATGACAGCTGCAGACCCACTGGACTCCGGTCCCACATGGGCAGCATGTGCTCTAGTCTCTGTCCTTCTGGAGTGATGCGTGAGTTGGGCCTGAACTGTCCAGACACCCAAGATCTTTCTAGTTATTCATACATATTCATACTTTTATTCATGCCATCAGGCTGTGCCCGCTAGAGGGATATGTCTGCTTCACCAGGAGGAGCAGAGACTGCTGGAAGTTGCCCGCCTGGGTCAGGCTAGAGTTGATCCAGCCACCACCACACATGCCCTGCAGACTTTGAGACAGTCTTCCAGGAAGGATCTCATTCTACAGTTCGCTTAAAGAAGATTTCCTAAATTTCCTAAGGGTTGTCTTCAACAGTATGTAGAAACAGAAGGGCTTTAAATCAGAACTGCTATTTATTTTTATGTCAACAAAAATTTTGAAAGAGGCCCTTTCTCCACCCAGTCGGACTTTAGTAGTCTTGGTATCTGGAAATGACTTGGACTGGCCTGTCCTGTCAGCACTGTTGGAATTTTAGGAAAGGGTCCAGGTGACCCACGAAGCTCCTCTGACCAGCGCAGGCGCAGTAGCTGGGCTTCCCTTGCTTCTGAGTAGAGCTGGAGCTGAATTCTCAAAGGGGCTACCATGGCCCAGCACCAAGGTTTCATTGGGACGTGGGGAGATATGCTTGTGTCGCACAGCAGACTGCCAGAGAAAACTAACCCCAGGTTACGCTCCAACCTGAAAACTGGGCACAGAAGGCCCCAAGCCGTCCCCCGTCAAACCTGTGCGTGGCCTGACATTTCACTCCTTGACCTCACGTGCTCCCAGACAGCAGAAGCCCCTCGGCAGCCAGAGGTTGACCGGTTGTCTGAAAATAGCTGCATGGCACCTCCTCAATTCCCAGCACCTTCTAGTTGGTGCACATTCTCACAAGGCTTAGAGCCTTGTCCCAGGCCCCACCCTGCCCAGCCCAAACCTTTTCGTCTTTGTCTCTGGCTGACCTTTCCTTTTATTTCTTCTGCAGAGTTGGATTACAGAAACTCCTATGAAATTGAATATATGGAGAAAATCGGCTCCTCCTTACCTGTAAGTCTTTTGCCTGGGGCCTGTAGGACACTTGCTTTCCCTCCCTGTCCTTTGTTCTGGAAACAGGCGCTGTCCTCCTGCGGTGTGCAGTGCTCCTGGGAGCTCAGGCCTGAATCCGGAGTTCCCCGTGCCTGCAGCATTCTGGATGGGCACTGAGAGGAACCGGGAGGGAGAGGGTTTGCACTCAGTCCACTTTGGTGGCATTTTCTGGGAGAAGATGCTAGATGCATTTTGGCTTCCTGCAGACCTCATTCCCTAGATTGATAAAGAAGTCAGAGTTTTCTGTGAAAAAGGTGGGAAGAACTAATTTGGTTGATTTTCAGGTGAACCATAATCTGTGTTCCTCAAATCAGTTGCTTTAGTAACTGAGGCTGTCTCTTCAGGCAGTGAGCTTCCCCGCCCCTTTACATTTTGAGTGGTCAAGACGGGCAGCTGTCTCCCTGGCTTCATATCCGCTGCCACCGGGCATTTGGTTCCTCTGTGCTGTGCCGCTGCCCAGTGATGCCCCTGAGGCGCGGAGTGCCCGAAGGCCTTGCCAGAACATCAGATGGCGCTGAACTTGGGCTCTTACCTTTATCTTTCTTTTCATTGGTGGTGGCTGCTGCATTGCTGCTTCAACCACTGTTTGCTGGATGTTAGCAACCCCCAATGACTGTGCCCTTCATACCGCCGAGCCACGGTGCTCAGCCTCCCCATTTGACTGGGCAACACCCGAACTTGACCTTGCCTGACCCTCTTCATCCTCAGCAACCCGGATAGATGAGCGGCACACAGCTCACCAGTGCCCATAAGCATCCTTCTCCAAGACCTCCTCCTGCTGTTCCTCCCCAGCCCACTCCACTTTCTCCTCTTCTGGGTGGCTCGCGAGAAGGGCCCGCTTGTCCCTGATAAGCTGTTGGCCCCTGCAGAATGCTCTGGTTTCCCCTCGGTGGCAGGTTCAGGCCAGCCGTGGCCAAGCTGACGTGTGACTTTGATCCCTGCAGCAGGACGATGACGCCCCGAAGAAGCAGGCCTTGTACCTTATGTTTGACACTTCTCAGGAGAGCCCGGTCAAGTCTCCCCCTGTGCGGATGTCCGAGTCCCCGACGCCATGTTCAGGGTACGGCTTCCGTAATGGGAGGGTTTCAGAGCGGGTCAGCTGTCCCCCCGGGCCCTGGCCCGCTGTCCTGACCCCAGTCCAAGCACATGCCCAGGCAGCCCGAGCAGTGGACACACATCCAGGGCTCTGGTATCCACGGCCCTTTGGACTAAGGAGAACACCTTTCTCAGCCAAGAGCCCCTCTGCAGGCCCCCGACATGTGATGTTCACTGAGCCCCAGAACCCACCCCAGCCCTTCCTGGCTGTGTGAGCTGATGCCAGTCACCTAACCCTCCCGGGCTGCAGTTTCCTCCTGTGTAGACTAAGGGTCAAAATAAACCAACCCTGTAGGGATTTCATGACAGTTAAATGGGGCTCTCGTTGATACCCCACAGCTGTGTGCTGGGCTCGGGGTACCGGTCCTCTGAAACCATTGAAGGGTAAACTGAGATGCTATGAGCAAAGCGCTTGTCCCGGGACCTGATGCACATAATGTGCCCGAGAGACACTTGTGATTAATTGGGGGGTGAATACGAGCCCTTAGGGCCACCTCTGTGCGGTGAAGTGTCCCTGAGTTGGGGCCTTCCTGTCCTCTCCTGCCTGTCCCTCCCACAGTGCAGGAGTGGGACTCTTGCTCTGACTTCCCTAACTTACTCCAGAATCTGCCCAGGAGGATGAGGGACAGGGTGTCCTCACAGAAGCAGCCTGTGTGATGGGCCAAGCTGAGTCCTTCACACGCGGTATCTCACTTGCTCTTCACAAGGTGTGTCGTCTCCACCTTACAGACAAGGGCTGAGGCACACACCTGGTCACTTCCCCTGGGGCACACAGCCAAGCCTGGCCTCTGCCTAGTTCCGGAGCAAGCCCTGGTGGGTGGAGCCTGGGACTCCACCTCTCCATGTCAGCAGGCCCTGGGGCCAGGCTGCACCAGCCCCTCCTCGGGCCCTTGGCGCCTGAGAGCCCGGCCCTGGATGTCCAGGGCCCCTCTGGAGCGGGGCTGTCCTGGTCCATCTCCACAGGTTTCTGAGGAGGAGAGTGAAGGTGGCCTTTACTTCCTCAGGTCAAGTTTTGAGGAGACAGAAGCTCTTGTCAATGCCGGGGCCCCGGTCCAGCATCCCGTTCCACGAGGGCTGGCCCCCAGCCAAGAGCCACACATGCAGGTGCCAGAGAAATCCTCCCAGAAAGAACTGGAGGCCATGGCCTTGGGCACCACTTCAGAAGCGATTGAAATTGTGAGTGGGGTCAAAGCGTAAGGGGGTTGGGGGGCCGTAAGGGGGGTCGGAGGGCCCGCTGGGTCCCATCACGAGGGGTCCTGCCCTCAGCAGCACTTACCTGGTGCTCTCATGGGGCCCCACCCCATCCCCAAGACCCAGAAGCCCACCTAGGAGATCCCACTCTGGACCAATTTCCAGAGAAAGCCTCCATTCTGCCCTACGAGCTTTCTTTGCTTTCAGGATTATTTATGTCCCCTTTTTTGCTCCTGAGCACTGGGGGCGACTGAGCTACCCTCAGCCACTGTCCCTGCTCTGGGCAGAGGCCAGGGGATGGCAGACCAGGGGACACTCTCTGTTTGAACAACAGTTGGTTTTCTGGGCCTGGGTGATGGGAAATCCCTCTAGTTGGCAGCTCACCCCGTGTGGGACCTTGCAGAGCAGCTGGACCAGAGCTGACACCCGCCCCCACCCCCAGGTCCATCCTTCTAGGTGACTTTTATTGTTTCTTCTCCCTCCCTCCTAGCAATCCCCAGGGGGGCCTGGGGTTGCTGATTTAGTGTGTCATCACTTCACTAGTCTGTGTTAGCAGAACATTCGTGTAGCTCCCCACTGGAGTGCTCATGAAGTGCCTACTATGTGTCTGGCAGTTGGATGCTAGGGAGAGTCTAGGTGCTCTGGCCTCCCCACAGGACCTAGGGGTCCTGCACGTCTCCTCCCACGGGGCTGGCTTCTGATTTGCAGTCGCTCTGATCCACAGGGAGACACTGTTCCATTTGAAATCCCCTTCTCATGTCTTAGAAAACGACCTTTACCACAACCTTACTTCCTTTGATATTTATTCTTGGAGGTATTTGTTGACAAGTTAGGTTATGTCTAGAAAATGTCAACTAGTCTGTCTTCCACCCACTGAGATTTTCAAATAAATAAGCAAATGGTAACTGTCCTCCCGCTGACTGGTGAGGGCTGGAGGGTGGGGCAGGGGTGGGCCCTGAGTCTGTGCTTTGGGGGTGGGGGCTGGGCCTGCCACTGTGACGAGGCCCATCCTCAGCATGTGAGGACTAGTCCAGCGAGCAGGGAAGTGCCAGCACCTAACTGATACTCTCTTTAGCCTTCAGGCAGAAATGTCCAGCAGGTAGCTGCGGGTCCTTGCCTGGGCTCTTTATCACTCTGCTCTCCTCTATTTTCCCTCCGTGTTCTCCTCTGCGGCCTTCAGACAGCTCCCGAGGGCTCCTTGGCCTCTGCTGACGCCCTCCTCAGCAGGCTGGCTCATCCAGCCTCTCTCTGTGGTGCACTTGACTATCTGGAACCCGACTTAGCAGAAAAGAACCCCCCAGTATTTGCTCAGAAACTCCAGGTTTGTAGCCCACGTGTGACGTTTGGGGAGTTTGTCAAAACCTCAGTAGAAAATGAACCTCTGCAGCCCAAATGTGGTGAGGACTTAATGAGGCATTGCCAAGAACGTTCCAAACGAGCTTCCTTCCCCTCAAAGACGGGGAAGCGTAGCGTTCTTGATCCAAGATGCCAAACTGACAGAGATGCTGAGGAACAGACCAGCTGTCTTTCGGTTTGGCAATTGGGCCCAAATATGGTCGTTTTCCAGAAGTTTTGATTGCCCCCAGAGCAGTTTCTGTGATTTATTCACAGAACCGAGGTATTAGGTCATCCTAGCCATGAGGCTAGAGGCATCTCAGACGCCCCTTGAGAAAACACCTCATTCTTGCATCTGGAACCAGAACAATTGCAGCTCTGTGCTTTAAATTTGACAGCTTAATTCGATAACCTCTAGACTCTGATGTTGAGAGCAAAACTTAGATTGTTAACATTTGAGAGAGATGCAAATGCACCCCAGGCATTGCCAGCTGTCTTTACCTTCAACAAACAAAAGGAAAGCCATCCAATCAAACTCTGCAGGCAACATTTTTGATGCCATTTTAAAAATCATTGCCTGTTCTGCTGCCTGCTACTTCCTGGCATTCATGCCAAAGGGCCATTAAAAAGCAAAGGAAATTAAACACTTATTTCATGATCTGCTGAGGTGGTTGTGAAAGAGCCGGAGCGTGTGTTTCTCTGAGTACCTGTCATGCCCATTCACGTGGCACCTTCATTTCTCGGCTGTGGGGGACCTTCCCTTCCTGTCTGGCTGCGTCTCCCTTGCGGCGTGCCTGCCACCCACCCGCGGGCAGGAGGAGTTAGAGTTTGCCCTCATGCGGATAGAAGCCCTGAAGCTGGCCCGGCAGATTGCCCTGGCCTCCCGCAGCCGCCAGGACACCCAGGTACCGACCGGTTTGCTGCCTCTTGAGAATGTTGTGTGGTCCGAAGCTGCTTTGCTAACCGCTGACCGGGCAGGTGTGGCCGGGGTGCCACAAAATGGAATGTTCCAGAAAGCTAAAGGCGTGCCTGGGGCATAGATCCTCACCGAGCACCTGTCTAAGATCCCCTAACTCCACCATGAGGGAACCAGCAGGATGGGCAGGTTGGCTGGAGGGAGGACAATACAAGAAACCGTGTAGGGTCGGGGCAAAGGAGGCTGGTTAGGATTGCACAGTCCATCACGGACTTGTCAGGATGGGACAAACAGGTCATCATCGCCTGTGAGATTTCCTTCTGGCTTCTATAGAAAATCACTTGCTTCTCTACCCAACAAAAACGAGTGGCTGCTTTTCTGATTCCTACAAGTTATCACCTAACCCTGCTGAGGTGGAGCCTGATCACTAGTGAACAGTGAAGCCACGTGGGCCGGCGCTCCCAGCCCCTCCCTGTCAGGGCAGATAGGCAGTCATTGGGCTTTGCTGGCCAGATGGCCCCTGTCGCAGCAGCTGACCGGCTGCCGGAGCTTGGAAAAGACACACGCAGAAGAGCAGGGAACATCACGGGATGTTCCCGTGAAACATCTTTTCTGTCACAGGGCCGCGGGCCACGCAGCCCACACACCGCAGTGTGTGCTCAAGTGGGGAGGGACATTGGCAGGCGTCCTTTCCTGGCTTCTTAGGTTGGGGTGCTGCTTCTCAGCAATGTCGATGAATTGCAAGATGGCGTGTGGCCTGAGGCTCAGCTCAGCCCTCTGGGCTGCCAGCTTCGAGGGGCTGCCTTGTTCCCACCCCAAGTGCAGCGGTCCAGGGTAGCGTCAGACCAGAACCGGGCCCCCGTGTGCTCTGTGACTGGGCACGAGTTGATAAACCACCCTGAGCCTCAGGTTTTCCGTCATGAGATGAAGGAAGCTACAGCGAGTTGGCAGGTTGCTCCTTGGACCGCGGAGATCTGCCGAGAGCAGCGCCGTGGCTGCACACAGTAGGCGCGTAAACAAAGCTGCCGTGGTAGCTGATCTTCACTTTTGCACATAGCCCAATGGGAAACTCACAGCATCTCTCCTCGGTAGGCGGAGGTCCCCGCTTTTTACAGGTGGGGGAACCTAACCAGCCTGACGCCTGATGGAGTCACTGCCTGGAGCTGCAACTTGGGTCTCCAGATGGGAGCCCTGGCTTGTCGTCCCAAGTGACATGTCCTTGGAGCAGGGCCCAGTGGTTTCTCCATCTCCCGTCCTTGGTAAGGGTTCCCTGGGGGGTGGCCCACATGTGGTTTCTCGGAGCCGCAGGGGAGCCTTGTCCCAGAGACATCTCCCAGTGACAGGCCCTCCCCGTGGATGTCCAGGCGGGGAGCGCTGGGCCCCAGGCGGGGACAAGACCGTCATACATGGCTGCCGTCCCTGTTCTTATTGCCGACCCATTGACTTGAGTTTAATTTCTGAGAAGATTCAGTTTAGAAAGCATTTACAGTAAGGATTTTCCCCATTAGATTTATTTCTTGATATTTTTAGATAATGAAGTTTGGCCACTATAAATTTGGGGAACTCCTGTCCATGCATTTGAGGTGGTGTTGGGGCTTCAGATTGAGTCTAGAGTGTTCCGCCTGCCCAGAGGCCCTGCCTCTGAGACCACCTCCGTGATGGCGGTGGGCAGGCCCGTACTGGCCAGAAGCTGATCGCTATCTGGGAGCCTGTTCTGAGGCCATGTGTGCCCATTTTGATTTAGTAAAGATTGTCACACGAATCGACTGAGTGTGGGCCAGAGCGACCTCCCACCTACCTCGGCCATGTTAGAAGAAATATCGCACGGGGGGTGGGGGGGTGGGGACTTTCTTGAGGCCATGGAACACTTTCCCGACGGTCCTAACTTGTATTGCTTTCCTATGAAGCACCGTGACTGTGGCCCGTGGGAAGCAGCTGCCCTGGCCTGAGGCCGGGCCGCCGAGGGTACGCTCTCGAGCTCAGCCTCAGCAGGTGCCTGTGGGATCCTGGTCACACCGACTCTCCAGGGCCCTCCTTGCACTGGAACTGCTGACGCGTAGAAAGACAGCAGCTGTGTCTCCAGTTTGCTCTTGCTGGGCCAGCTGTGGAGGGACACGGCTTTCCTGCATCTCGTTTGTCAGGAGATGCAGAAGTGAGGAGAACCCCATCGGGGCTGGGGGGCGGGCTGTTACCTCCTCTTTGCTTTCCTCCTGCATGCTTCTGGCCAAACTGAGTCAGGTTGTGTCCTCTTGGGGGTGCATCACCCCATCACTGCAAGGTCCAGCTGCCTGAAGTCTGACACAAACCAGGAGCTACTGAGAACCCAGTGCCCTGTCTGTGTGACTTCCGAGAGGGTGGACGACTCCAGGAAGATCAGTTTCATTTGCATGAGTAGCAGAGGTTGCTGGGGGTCCCCAAAACCATTGGCCTTTCTGAGTTGGGACCCCCCCGTAAGGACGAAGAAGTGTCTGGATAACGCAAGAATAACCACCCCACACATGGCAAGCTCAGGACCAGAGAAGAGCTACTAACAGGCACCTTCCGGAAGCAAGGGTGTCGTCCCTAGTGTCTGTCCTCCTGCGTCCCCGAGAGAGAGCGGGGTGCCTGGACGGTATGTCAGCAGGCAAAGGGAGTCAGGTCATGGGCACCCTGTGCGGCTGGCCAGCGGCTGATGTCACAGGCTCTGTCTCCTCCAGACGTGGCTCCCCCAACTCTACATGAACAGCAAGACTCCCCAAAGCCGTGAGGTCAGAGGCGGAGTCTATTTCGAGAACAGAAATCGCCTGCTGCCTTGTTCAGAAGGCCAGGCCATGTCTTGACCCTTTGGGAGGGTGTGGCCGGTGGTGCCTCCTCATCTTGGCCAGCCTGGACTTGAGAGCCACCCCTTGTCAGCTGGAGGGGCACACCGGGCTGAAGCCTCTCCCCTGCCTGGTCTAGCCCGTGTCCATGCTCTGTGACCTCAGCCCCGCTGGCCACAGCCTCCTGACTGGCCTTGCCCTTGGTCCTCGCCCTGTGCACCCCTCCCTGCTCTCCCCAGCCCGGACCTCAGGGACAGGGGCCCTGCCCTGGGCTCAGGCTTCCCTCGAGGCCTGGCAACAGGGTCACAAGGAGACTGAGTCTGGCAGGTGACAGGACCCCTAGCTCCTGACTGCAAGGTCAGAAGGACCCCAGGCATGAGGTCTGCAGGTGTCACCTGGTGACAGGGTCCTCGCGGGGAGGCCACGTCTCGTCAGGCTTGGCTCCTAAAGGAAACTTGGGAGACTGAATTAAGGAGCTGGAAGTTCGTTCTAAAGGCCTGTGCTGGCTGAGTCGCTGTCATTTGACATTTGAATTTGTGATTCTAGCAGCTTTTTGGCCCATTTATAGTGGCAGATGGGGAATTAAGTGATCAAGCAAAACTTGATCTCTAAGTTTGATCTTAAATCAATGAGAGACAAACCTATTCATTTCGGGTAAAACAGTTTCTGGTTGTAAGGGAAAACCAGGGCGTGTACCTCGAATTTAGCAGGCAGATGCTCGACAGGAGTTCAGATGAATTCTGAAGTCATCTGTTCCTTATTGAAACACCAGATGGCCAGGGTTGAGGGTGATAGGAATCCCTGCAAAGGGTCCTATCCTTTTCCATTTACGTGGAAGATTCTCACTGCCCACCTCCCCCCAATTTCTCTCCTTGTTTTGTGAAAGATCTTGAGTAGCTCGAAGCGCATTAAGCTGCGTTGAGCATGTTTGGTTTCTGTCCCGAAGGAGAAAGTTAATTTTATTCATTTTCTCTTGTGCTTTCAGGGAGCTGGTTTATTTTGTTTTTGTTTTTGTTTTTTAAAAGATCATGTATTTTTTTTTAAAGATTTATTTTTATTTATTTATATATAACAAGCACTGGGTACAGTCAGAAGCGTGGGAGGGCGAAAGAATTCACCAGAGCCAGAGCGGGGAGCAGAGCAGGCAGAAGGACCGAAGGACACTGCTGAGGGGAGCAGCGGGCGGCAGGAGAGGTCTGCGTGCCATGTGGGACCCTCCTCCGGTGGCCTGGGAGCAGCCGGGGATCGAACCAGCGCTGCAGAGGCTGCAGGCAGCTTCGCAACCCAGCGCTCAACCGCTGCACCACCGGGGAGGCCCGAGCTGGTTTATTTTGGGTGGGAACTGAACCTTGTTCCTTGTTCCTGGAAACCTTTCTGCCGGGTCTCTCAGACCCCCCATTTTTCTTTCAGGAGGTCCAGGATGAGTTCGATGGTGTCTAGTGTTCTTTCCATTTTGAAATTTTATTCTAATTTTTAAAGGAATGCATTATTTTGCTTAAAAAGTGGCAAGAATGGCTTTTTTAAAATCCTCTTCAGAATTTTGTTTTTATGCACTTTCTCCATAATACAAACGCTGAGGCTTGATGCCTCAGGATGGGTTTCCAGTTCTGTCCTGAGACATTTCTGAGTGATGAGACCCTCGAGGGCACTTCAGGCACCTGCTGGGCTGCGATCTCTCTTCTGGGAGGTCACTGTGGAGGTGGTTCTGGCCGAATGTTCTTTAGTGGAGGCTCCTTTAGGACCCGAGCATGACGAGTGGGCTCCCCTGGACACGTGAGTGTGTCTGTAGGGTTGGACAAGGTCTGGCTGCTCCCCTCTCTGCCCAGCAGTAGCGATTCGGGGTCCACTTCAGAGTTAGCCAAAATACTCGAGGCCAGGCAGAGACAGCGAGGCCCAAGCAACAGAAGCCCGCTCCCGGACCAGCAAACCACTCAGTTCAGCTTGCATGTGTCCGACTAACTGGGCCTAACTCACTCATCTCCAGTCCTATCCATTAGCCCCCGCCCAGGGTTTCTGAGCCGTCTCCCTCCTCCTGGTCCCCTTCGTGATGTTGGAGGTGGGCGAGCAGGCCCGGCCTTGTGGCCCAAAAGAGAAATCCGCCTCAAGTCCCACCGCCCCTACCCCCTCCACTCCCCCCACCCTAGTTACCAGTGGCGCTGCCCCGCTACCTGCCGCCTTTTACAGGATGAGTCCACGTCAGTCTTTTCCTGAATCGCCCGCTCTTTCTACTGCGCTGTGGTGTTCTGGGCACTGCTCGGTTTCTTCTCCGTTTCCCAAGGAAGAAGCAGCCACTTCCTGCGAGTTAACCCACCACTGCTTCCCGTCCAGCTGAACATGCCCAGCCCCTTGGCGGCCAGGGCGGCACCGGCAGGGTGATGAATAGGACTGAGAGTGTGGCTGGTTTGCTGTTTCTCTGGCGGTAGAACTAGACACCGCCCCTGCGCTGGCTGGGGCCTCCTAACCCTGCATCTCGAGTGTCTTGGAAATTGCTGAGCATCTTGTGCATTGGTGGGGGAGGGGACGGCAGACCCCTCCTCCTTCAAGAAGGGAGGGGTCCATCCTCAGGCTATAAAGCTGTTGAGGCAGTGGGACTGGGGTGGGGCTGGGGAATCCGGCCTTGTGCTGAGCATCCTCTCAGCTAAATGAAGATCGTTCCTCATCCAGTTTTCAGTCTTCCCTTTGACTTGACAGACCCACCTCTGGCTGGCTGGCGTCCAGAAACTAGCTGTTGAAGGTGACCTTGGTTGACAACTGTGCTTGGCTTTAAACTTTGTGTGGCTCGTATCCTTTTAAACGGAGCTAACCAGATGGCCCCAAATTGAAGCGAGGACAGACTCACAAAAACGAGCAGCTCTGTGGTTATTAAAGACGAGGCAGATGCAGACAAGCATCCAACGTTGTGTTCGCCGTCCGGCTTTTGTTCTGAAGTAGAGCCTGCTGGCTGGCGACCAGGGTCCCTGCGCTGGGCCCAGAAGCCTGGCGTCTGATAAGTGGCAGTGATAAGCAGGCCCCAGACGCACTGGACTCGGTGCTGGGAGTCTGGGGGGCTCTGCCACCAGCCCCTCTGTCTGCCCGTGCGGTGCCAAGGGGCAGATGTCCACCATCGTGCCCAGCATCGCCCCACTCATCAGTCTCACCATCGCTTCATACTTCTGATGTTCTTTGTTTCAAAACCATACGGTGACCCATTCATGAGGGCGTGGATGTGACCCTCTCTTGCGAGATTCCTGTTAACCTTCTTTTTTCTTTCTTTTAATGCAAAATCATTCCACAGAGAGAGGCTGCTCACCCGACGGATGTCTCCATCTCCAAAAGCGCCTTGTACTCCCGCATCGGGGCCTCCGAGGTGGAGAAGCCCACCAGCCTCCTGTTCCAGCAACCCAGCTTGGACTCTGCACTCCAGATGGCCAGAGCCGAGGTGCGGCCCCGGGCTCAGGAGGGCCGGCTCTGGGGAAAGACCTGTTTTGAGATCTGCTTCTGCCCCCACCCACAAGCACACCTCCCCGGGTTCACAGACTGTCCCCCTCTGCAGGGACAGTGGCATCGCCCTCCCAGTCCTGCATAATGAGCCTTTATGGCTTTATTTGGTTTATAAGGAAAAGAAGATGCCTTTCAGTTGCTCCGGGGTAGAGGGGCTTTGTGAATGTCTGACGCCTGGCTTATTGCTGTCTTCTGCCAGAGGAAATTCTCAGCATACAGTCTTGGCTGGTGTTGGAAGTTTTCATTCTACATTTAGTCCATGTTTCCTGGTCCTGGACCGCAAATTGCTCAGATGTAAATTCACTCCTTGGAGCTAACCTTTCTCTTCTTCCCCCCATACCAGATCATAACCAAGGAGAGAGAGGTCTCAGAGTGGAAAGATAAATACGAAGAAAGCCGGCGGGAAGTGATGGAAATGAGGTCAGTGACAAGCACCGGCTCCCCTGTGGCTTGACGACAGCTGGAGCTGGGGGCGCGCTCCTCTGCGCGAGCTGTCTTTTCTTAATTACTCACGGTCCCTATTTTCCTATGAGCATCTTTGGTATATTACGGTTATGAAAGCATCACACACACGAATTGAACACTGCAATCAAATAAACATGTATAGAACATGAAACCAGTCGTCGCCCCCAGCAAGGGTTCCACGCCCCTCAGGTCCTGCTCCGGGGTCTCCTTCCAAGAATTCCCCTTATCTGAAGGCAGATGTGTGACTGTATCTAGATAGCTTCGTTTTTTCCCCAAACAAATGGGAACGTGCAAGTATACATTATCCTGCACTCTTTTTTAATGTAACAGCTTGTCTTGGACAGACTTTTATACATCTGGACCTCATTGTTTAGCTGGTGCTAATAGTCCTCACATATTCATTTCTCCAGTGCCAGTGGATAAATATTTAGGTTGTCTCCCAACTTCCCCGTGATGAATTTGTTTTCATTTGCTACATTTGTAATAGAAAGAGGAGGGCTGCCGTGCATTAAATGCCTACCACGTGCCACGCGCCGTGCCTCTGGCCAGAGATGCACGGCCTCCGTTCCCCCGATAGCTGGCAAGGAGGGCTCGCCGGCTGCTTGTAGTGGAGGCTCAGAGAGGCTGGGTGACTCGCTGAGTCAGGCCTCAGGCTTCGACTTAGAAGAACATAAATTTGAATCCATCTTTCTGATTTCAAACTCCAAGCTCTTCCCACTGTCCCCAGCATCCTGCCTCCTCCTCATCCCATCTGATACTTCTTTTCTCCCTCAATTCATCATCTTAAGAACTAAGAATCCGGACCTCTCTGGTGGTGCAGGCGGTTGAGTGCAGAGCTGTGGAGCTGTCCGCAGCCTCTGCAGTGCCGGTTCGATCCCTGCCGACCGCAGAGATACCCACATGGTGGGGCAGACCTCTCCTGTCTGCTGCTGCTCCCCTCAGCAGTGTATTTCAGTTGGTCTGTCTGTTCTGTTCCCCACTCTGTCTCGGGTGAATCCTCTCACCCTCCCGCACATCTGGCCTGTACACCGGTTCTTGTAAAAAAATAAATAAATCTTTAAAAACAAAACAAAAGAACTATGAAGCCAACTCTAGAAGTTACCCTGGGGATGTGCTTTTTAAAATTTTCATGTTACTGGTGTTTTGAAAGCACCTTCAGCCCTCACCTTGACCTTGGCCAGCTGAGTTGGTCTCCTTGGCCAGCCCCTGGCCACACCTGGATCTGAGGGCTGCTCTTGCAGCCACAGTTCAGTTTGTTGCACTCCTACCTTCTTCAGCACGAGCTGCATTAACTCAGGGGACTTCCAGTAGCGAGAGGAGAGGTGGGCCAGACAGAACCAATCACTTAGCAAGAGGGAAGACCTGGCACCGTTGAAAATCCATGATAGACTTCACTTTTCAGGCTCGATGTTTGGGAGTAAGGGGACGGATGGATTTTTAAAGCACCACACATGGGTCGAAGCACCACACATGGGTTGTGCCACACAGGTACCAGTCTAGCCTCAGAATCAAGTGCATCCTGGCCTCCTGTTCTAAGTAACAGGCACACTATTTCTGCAATCCTGTCCCATTTTCTAGGTCAAGTGGTTTCTTCCTGAAAGTTCTCCTGTTTGTTCTCTTTCTGCTGCTGTTTTTCTTACCACTTCTGGAGGTTAATTTTAGTGTGGTACTTCACATTCAAACTGAGGCCCTAGAGTTGCATTATTTTTAATCTTTTTCCCCTCTTTATCTTGGGGGTGGCGGTGGGAGGGTTGGGAGGAGACAGGGTGGCTTCGGGGAGCAGGACATCCTGGGGATGCCAGCCTCCAGGAGGTGCTGTTTGTCCTGGGTGGGGCTTCAAGAGGCACCAACTAATGAAGCTCACGGATCTCCATGGCTTGAGTGGCAGCCCGGCCTGCCCCTGGAGCCTGACTGCTTCCGGGCCGGTTCCCTGGCTCGGGTCCTACTTTACCTCCTCTGTAAAAGGCTGTAAAGCACAGTGCCTGAAGGCAGCCTGAGGGCAATGAACAAAGACTCCAGAGTTCAGTGCCTAAACTCCTATCCTAGCTCTGCTCCTTTGTGGCCCCAGGACCCTGGGAGGTTTCCCAAATGGCCCTGCGCTCCGATACCCCTGTGGATGAGGTGGAAATGCAGTAGAGCTGATCTAGCTCCGGGCGCCTGTCTCCCTGCATCCTGACAGCACACGTCTGTCCCTGCTCTAGACCCAGAGGGGCGATGGGTTTAGAGGTGTGGCCTCCCTGTTTCTCATTCGGGGTCATTTTCAGAGATAACCCTAGAGGATCTGTCCTGGGGTGAGGCCCTGGCCTGGGGATCATGGTCGAGAAGCTGCAGACACCCAGCAGCTGCCAGGCTGCTTGACTTTGCAGAACGTGTTTTTGCAGAATCCCCTTTCACCTCAGTTAACACCCCCCGCAGCCCTGAAGGTCAGAGTCTGGGGTAGTGCTCACTACACCTGGGAGGCAGCTGAACGAACCCCCAGTGCCCATCACCAGCTCGCCCAGCTGCACAGCTAGGGAGGCAGGGCCAGCTGTCGTTGGGCCCTGGATTTGTTGTTTGGCACCTCTTGGTTCTCTCGTGGAGAACAATTATTAGATAATACAGATGCACCCCCAGGAAGGTTCTTCCAGAAAACTGACTTTGGAGGGGGACCTCTTCCCTCCTTGGTCCTTGCCCCTGGGGGCAGCGGTGAGGCCACCTTACAAGCAAGGGTTCTGCATGGGTTTGTGCAGCTGCTGTTCCTTGAGGCTACCCGTGAAGTGCTACTTCTCCCCCCACCGAAAAAATAAAAACCTGCAGGTAGTAAGAAGGAGCCATAGGCCTTGTACTGTGATGCCATATGTATGAGATGTTTGGGAAGAAGATTCAGATAAAATGTTAAGTTCTATAGAGGGGAATCAGGGAAGGCTTCCTGGAAGAGATGGCATTTGAATTGGACCTTGAAGAAACAGACTGTGAGAAGTAGAGATGGGGAGGGGAGTGAATAACATGGGCAGGGGTGTGGGGTGAGAAAGCCCAGAGCAAACAAGAAGTCATTTATTCGCATTGAACCACTGTGTTCTCGAGGTGATGCTGAAGAAGGGAGATCAGGCCAGGTTGTCAAGGGTGTCGACTGCCAAGCTGAGGGCTTGGCTTTTCTCAGTGGACAGTGGGGAAGCATTGAAGGTTTTACACAGGTGAGTGGTGTGTTCAGAATCACCCACTAGGAAAACGAACCTGCTTGGTGTGCAAAGAGAGTCCTGAGGTTGGAGATGGTAGAAGTCACCAACCCGGACAAGCAAGACGTGTCCTCTGCTGCCTGGTCAGGAACCCCTTGTGAGACTGTAAACCTTTCCCTGTCATGGTTCCAATGTATTTTTACTTCTCTTGCAGGAAGATAGTGGCTGAGTACGAGAAGACCATCGCTCAAATGATAGGTGGGTGTCCTGACTTTCGGGGGGCTCAGGCCCACTCTAGGGCTTCTAAACTGGGGGGTGGGCTTTGAAGAAGGGGGCTCAGAGCACAAGGTCCTTCAGGGAGGGACCCAAGCAGCTCAGATGGTGGCTTCACCCAAGGCAGTGAGCCTGGGGACCTCCCGGAACCCCCCACTAGAATGTCCCTTGGCGTTATTCCTGCCTGTTGGAGGCCACGGCCGCCAAATGACCAGCCAGGACTGTCCACCTCAAGGGGAGGAGACTTGGTTGGCTCCTTGGATGCTTGGGAGCTTTTTTGCTCATAGGAGAGACTGGGAACCAAATTCCTAAATTCCAATTTCACTTAGACCAAAGTGACAGAATGTCCCACTCGGCCTGTACAGGGTCCACGCGAGGCTAGCAGAGCGCGTGGCAGCCCCCTGCCTGCCCACTCCCTCCTGTGACCAACAGCTGCTGTTGACCAGCCACAGCCCGCTCCTCTGACCATGGTCCCTGCCTCAGAATCCCTCTCATTGCAGCAGCCCTGACAGCCAGTACTGACAGCTTGCAATAGAGGCCTCAGAGGCCTCAGAGTGCAACTGAGACACACTGGGCTTTGTTCTTTGTCTTTTAATAATGAGAAAAGGTCTTGTAGTTCAAATCCAGGCTTTTTACACTAGTGATCATTTTTCAGAAACGACATTAGGACACTAGGGCGACACGTTTGTGTTTGCTTCTCTATTTGCTAGGCCCACGATGCCAGGTTTTCAAATTATTTTGTTTTTAAGGACCCAGAGAAAAGCCCCAGCTCCATGCAAACTGCACGTGGGTGTCAAGCCTCACCTCGTGCTCATCTCAGGAAAGATGAGAACAACCTGGGGGACAGTGAGGAGGCAAGAGTCGAGGCCTCCGCCCAGAGAGCTCAGGCTTTTTGTTACCATGAAGGCCGTGTCCCCAGAGCTCAGAGAGAAACCTCCGGGTGTGCCTAGGAATGGGCCACTTGGCGTGTGCTTCTATGCAATGAAACCTCTTTATTAAATTGGTGTCAGGCTTTATGAAAACATATGAATGAGGTTAAAAAAAGGAGTGTAAACCAAAAAGGAAATCCTCTTGGAACTGGACCAGCTGGTAAAAGTTGTGGGAGGAAGGATTTATGTCTCCAGCGTGCGGGGTCTGGCGAGCTGAGCACGCCCTTCGCCTCCTGGAGCCTCGGGAGATGAAAACACCGCCCGGCCTCCCCGGCTCCTCTGGAAGCTTCCTTCTGCATCTCAGTCATGTGTTTGTCCTTTTGCCGTTGACAGTGACATTTAGGCAGGTGTTGAAATGGGGGTACAAGGCCCATGCCCCTAGGGAAGGCTGCCAGAGCCATCTTTTACTGCTCGGCTGGTGTTTCCCCATGAGCAGACACCCCCTCTTGAAAACTAGAAGAGTGAGAGTCTCTAGTTGGCTCCAGGGCCTGTCCTCGCGACTCAGCAAGGTCGTTTCGCTGAGGCGTCCTCACAGTTTGTCCAGGTGACACTTTTTGCAACAGCACATTGAATTCCAGAGGAGCCTATGGAAACCTGCTTCCAGGGATCATGGTCACACAGCCCCCAACTGCTCCCCCAAGCCTCCCCCCGTACCTTCCTTTCCCATACCTACCTGCCCACCTCTCACCTGTCCCCCCCACATGCTTACTCCTCCCCACCCGACATGCCTGCCCCTCTCCCTCAGGGACCTGGTACATGTTTGACCTGAGGGTGCCCTCTCCAAGTTCTGTGAACCCCTCTTGAATGTTCGAGCTTCCCGGTGGCTCTGACACCCCTCCTGGCTGGAAGCAGTGTCCTCGCTCAGTGGCCTCTCCCGGGTCCACTCCCTGCCCTCACAAGCGACGTAGTGTCCTTTTCATCACCCACTTGCCGAGCTGTTCTCATCAGCCAGGCGCCCATCGTGGCTGCCGACCGACGTCAGTACTGCCGGTCATGGCGAGGCCCACATGGCCCCCAGGTCCTGGTGCCCTGGCCAGCCACCACGCGGGGCTGAGGCCTGGCCGGGTCTGGACACGGCGATGGGCAGATGCACCTTCCCTGGACGGGTGAGGGGCTCTCGCTGTGTGGAGTCACACCCCAGCATCCCACCTGCACCCCATGGCCTCGCTTTCACTGCCCCAGCCGGTGTCGTGGAAAGGCGGGCTCAGCCCCAGGCTGCTTGGCAGTCAGGACCAGAGAGAATGTGCTCGCCTTTTGAAGTTCAGACCAGTTTTTACCCACCCTGCTGCCCCTCCTAGCTCGGTGCACTCCCTTAAACCTTCACAAACGCTCCACGCCAGCCTGGCTGCCTCCACCCTCCTCATTACATGTTACTAATAGAACCTGTTTCGTTAGGTTCAAATGTTGAGTATCTAGAATTCGGAGCAAAAGGACCTCTTTGCTTCTGCATTCTAGGTTGTTGCGATTGTTTTTTTCTGCTTTCCTAACAACTGCCCTGATTATCTGTTTTGCTTCCATTTTCTGTTGCTTCTTCCCCTTTGCTTGCAAAACACACAGGCAAGCCTGGTAAGTAAATGCTTTTCCCCTGATTTGACCCCCTGCACCCCTTGTTTGTTTGTTTTTTGATTTTTGTTACTTTTGCTTTCTGTATTTGCTGCATCCCCCCCGGGCTGGATGGTGTTTTGCCTGGTAAGGCCCAGCCAGCTCCCGGCCATTGTTTTGTTGGTTTGCTGCTCATTTCCTGACTTGAAGACACGAACTGCCTTTGTAATTTACAATAAGAATTCCGGAGTGTTCTCGCCTCCTGGGTCTTCCGGGAAGTAGTGTTTTTAGAAGGGTTGGCTGGGGAGGGAAGGAGACCCGAGGCAGGCCGGTCTCCAGTGAGAAGTCAGGTGGACTCTGCTTCTTTCCCGAGCTGGCGACACGTGGCCACGGCCTGACAGAGGCCCGGGACGTGCCCCGTACCGCGCGCCGAGAGCCGAGGGAGCAGCAAAAACGCAGGCTGAAAACCTGCATGTCCTTACTGGGTTACCAGGGACATGTTGAGACACCCACTTGCTGTTTTGGGGTCTGAAGCAGCTGGGGGACTGACCACTGGCAGTTCTCGCTCGCTGTGCTAGCGGCCACCCTCTGTGACATCAATTTAGGGGGAGACCGAGGCACACAGGTTAAAACCCTGGCCTAAGGTCACAGTCAGGAAGTGTCAGAGCCAGGGTTTGAACCTGGGCAGGCAGACTCTGGCACCTGGTTTCTCACCTCCGCCCAGTAGCAGTGGCTCTGAGAGGCAGGGTTAGAGGGACAGCGGGCATCGTGCAGGCCTTCTTCTCCCAGCGTGGCCCATGGGCCGGCGGCCTCAGCATCCGGGGGGAGCTTGGCACAGATGAGGGGCTCACGTTCTGAAGCAGAACCTAGTGGGTAGGGCGCAGGTAGTGTTTGAGCAAGCCGCCCACTGTGTCCGATGCACGCTCACACGTGAGGACCCTTTCTTTTGGAGCTGAGAACGTGGGGCTCTGAGAGTCAGCTTCTGAGCGAGTGCATCAGGGCTGGAGCTGAAGCCACGGTGGGCCCTGGCCTGTGCTCACCGTGCCAGGATCTGTCTCACTGCAGGTTTCACAGGGGCAACCGTTTCTCGGGAACCTGAGGAAAAGAACCCAAAGCAGGTGCCCGGGGAAGGTGCCTCTGAGTGAGTGAGGGGAGCCCTGGGGAGCTCTGGAGTGTTCCCCACAAACAGCACAGCAGTGCTGAGCCTGGCAGGTGGAGCAGAGAGGGCAGAGCGCGTGGGGGGACGGCGCTTGCATGTTCTTCCCAGCGTGGTGGAGTCTTCTGAGCAGGAGAGAGAGACCTGGCATTACTTCTGGTCAGTCTGGCTGCTGGGGACAGGCCCAGCATGAAAGACCCCCGTTCACATGCCCAGAAGCTGCTCTTACCGGTGCTGGTGCCACTTCCCGCTGGCCCCATCCTGCAGCTGACACCTGGGCAGTGTGGGCAGCAGGCATCCCCCGCAGGGCACCTGGGGCTGAGGAAGGACAGTCTGTGGAGCTCCTTCCCCCAGGGACTCTGAGCAGGGGTTTCCCCCCACACACATACACTCCTCTGTCACCAAAGCTCCAGAAAGATCAGGTGGGGTGCCTCCCCACCCACCGAGGCCACTCACAGTTCAGCACAGGGAGGACAGGGCTCTGGCTGGGGGGGCTATGATGCAGGAAACGCCTTCCCAGCAATGTGAGGTGGTCTCCCAGCCCCTGGGGAGGGAGTTGGCTTGTGGCAGCCGAGGTGGGGGAGGTGGAGGACAGAATAGCCACTGTGGGCGGGGCTGGAATTTCACCCTTTTAGTACAAGACTGAAAAACTCACTTGCACAGAAATAGCTGCATTTTCCTTGGAGCCAAGATCCCTGCTGTGGCCAAGGAGCTGTCAGTCTCTTGTGCGGTAGAATCAGGGACGACAGTTACGTGGGCTTTGGGCTTAAAGATGAAGAAACCTTTTTCTTTTCCAAAGATCATCTCTTTGTCTTGAGACCTTGAACTACCCCCGCTCCCAGCCCAGTCCACCCACTTTCTAAGCTCGCTCAGCACTAAAGTCAGCAGTGAAGATTCCTACTGTCAAAGCAAATAGAATCTCTGGGGTCTCCAGGGTCAACTGCAAGGGGCTGCATGGAGCAGGTGGAAGCACAGGGGCTAATTTCCATCCATCTAATACTGTGGGGCCCGGGTATGGGGTGCTGGCTGTGGGTTTTGCTGCTTCAGAGGCAGAGTCAGGGTGGGGGTAGGGGCTGGGGAGTCTGAAATGTCTCACCTGTGTCAGCGGTGTGGTGTGCGAGGCCTCTCTGGCCCCTGAAACCAGCTTGTGACTCCACGGGCTGCATGGTTTTGTTGTGTCTCCTGCCAGAGGACGAACAGAGGGAGAAGTCCGTCTCCCACCAGACGGTCCAGCAGCTGGTCCTGGAGAAGGAGCAAGCCCTGGCCGACCTGAACTCTGTGGAGAAGTCCCTGGCTGACCTCTTCAGGAGATACGAGAAGATGAAGGAGGTTTTGGAAGGCTTCCGCAAGGTGGGGCTCAGCAGGCTGCTGGATCTGTGGGTGGAGAGGCTGGAGCAGGCTGGGCGGGGCTGGGACCTTCCAGAAGCCTGTCTTTGCTGGCTGAGAAGTTGGCCTCGACTGGTAGAGATGTGACTACATCAGAGTTCTTGGGGTTCCCAACGCTCAGCGTGTCTTCTGTGGTTTCGGCCCCGTCCTCTGTGGTGTCAGAATGAAGAGGTGTTGAAGAAGTGTGCGCAGGAGTACCTGTCCCGGGTGAAGAAGGAAGAGCAAAGGTACCAGGCTCTGAAGGTGCACGCGGAGGAGAAGCTAGACAGGTAACCCTGGCCCCTGGCCCCTGCAAGGGCGTCTGGGAGCTCCCGGGGCCCCCAGGCTGGCTCCGGACGGACGGATAATGTCCTGCGTTTCTTCTGTGCAATAAGCCTGTGCTCCCAATTAGCTTTCATTTTGGTAAGTGAGGGATGCATGTTGCCCCTCCAGGGCACCCCTCAATGCACCGTGAGGATGTGGGTTCTCATGGGCCCCTGTATTCAGGCCCCTGTTGGTGGGAGCTGGACCCAGAGGGCTCCCCCTGGCCAGAGGTGGGAGGAGGAAAGTGTCTGTAGGAAATGTTGACCATTTCTGGGCTCTCCTTACCCCCACCCCATTTAACCAGGGCCAACGCCGAGATAGCCCAGGTCCGGGGCAAGGCCCAGCAGGAGCAGGCCGCCTACCAGGCCAGCCTGCGGAAGGAGCAGCTGCGGGTAGATGCGCTGGAGAGGACGCTGGAGCAGAAGGTAATGGGGTGGGGGGGTCTGGGCTTCCCAGCAGCCCCCAAAGACAGGAGCTCCCCCGTCGGAAGACACGGTTTAGAGCCAGCCCCGAGACTGGCCTCCTGCCTGGGATACTCACTGCTGTTTTTCATTCCTTGCCCACATTCAAGAATCCAGTAAGCCTCTGCTGTGTGTCAGACACATAGCACTTAGCCCGGCCTGCAGCCTGCCTGCTGGTGAGTGGGTGGGGTCCCCCCGAGGGGGCCCCAGCAAAGACAGCTGACTGCCGGGAGATTGTACCTTGTCAGGGACAGAAGGGCTGGAGATCTTGCTGAGGCCCCTCAGTTTGTCCCCAGGTCTCCTGGTCTCCCATCTAGCGCTCAGTCTGTAACCGCCTCTCCCTGCGTGTCTAACGAGAGCCCCTTCTGCGCGGGGGGGTTGTCTGAAGAGTGTAGGGCGGCAGGGCCAGGCCCCCAGCTGTTTCCAGACATTGTTCCAGTTCATCTACTAGATCTAGGAGTCCCCTGAGCGCTCGTCAGAGATGGAGGCCTGGGCTGGCAGCCGTGCTGCACCCCGGGGCCCTGATGGGCACTGTGGGGGGAGGGGTGGCCAGGAGGCCAGGGTGTCTCCTGTGTGGTCTCTGCTACCCCAGCAGCGCCCAGTGGGCCTCGGCTGGCCTGCTTCCAGCCAGGTTCCAGCGTGGTGTGGCTGTGCTGACACAGGATTGGCGTGTCACCTCCCCCAATGGTGTCTTGAGCCCTGGGACCTGGGGGCTCCGGTACTGCACCCCCGCCACCATCCCTGATGACCCCAGGCAAGCCTCACACTTCCCCCCATTTCTGGGTTTGTAGTGTTGGAGAATTAATCCTGAAAACCTTGAAGACTCCCCCAGCCCGGAAAATGATCTGGCTGATCATGGAAGGACCTTCCTGAGGCCCCTGGGGAGTAGCCACTGTGCCTGCTTGGGCTGCGCCCCATGCTCCACCCCCGTTGTCCGGGGTCCATGCAGAGACACACTCCTGCTCTATTCCTCTCGGGCTGAAAAAGACACAGGGCTGCTGAAAAAGACAGGCTCGCACCAGAAAGCTTCACCTCTCTGGGCTTGAGTGGAAAGTGGGGTGGTAATGGGGCCGCCACTGAGGGGCTCCTGCGAGGCGAGAGACCCCACAGCGCCTGGGGTGTGTTTAGAATGGAGAGCGGCACACAGGAAGATGGGAAAAATCAACCCCTGCAGTGACAGTCACGGTAATAGCGGTAATTTCAGGATTAGCCGTGTACCTCGAGAGCTGCATCTCCCAGGGGGCATTTCAGCGTCTCAGGACGGAGCCTCTGAGAGCCATAGTGTCTGGAAGGTCATGTTTCAGGCAAGCTGGTCAGGGCTAGGGCAGGACAGAGGTGAGGCATGAATTTCACATCCCCTAAGAAACTCCAGTTCTTGCCAAGCACCAGCCAGAAACGGGGACACATGGCTCCAGGCCAGAGCAGATCTCTGGGGGCTCCGTACAGCCTCAGGGGACAGACTTGTGGTTGAGGCTCATCACCCTGGGGACCTCCAGCTAGCTAGAGGTCAAAATGCTGCTAGAATGTTCCTGGATTACCAGAAAGTTGGTGCCCCCTGGGAGAGGGCCACAGAGATTGACTGTTGAGCCAGATGGAACTTTCTCCTGAGAGCAAAGCCCCACCCGTCCAGATGGACGTCACCCCTTAGGGTCCCCCTTAGAGAGTGGGTTACCAGTGCGAGACAACGGGGCTGTGGAGGGAGCTGGTGCTTGTGAACGCTCTGCCATGTGCTGGTCGCTGTGCTGGTCGACTTTACATTTTAGCCCTCATTTAGTCCTCAGGGACAAATGTTATCATCCACATTTTAAAGATCACAAAATCAAAGCTCAGAGAGACTGTGTAACTTGCCCAAGGTCACACAGCAAGGCGGGGTATAGATTTAGATTGCGCATCTCTAAGTCATTTCTCTCGCTGCGTTAGAGCATTTCAGAGGTACCAAGTGTTCTGGGGGACCCCAGACCCCTAAAAAAATCTAATGACTTTTCTGATTGGCTTAATTTCAAACCACCAGGAGATTTCAGCAGCCTTTCTTTATCTTCTTGCAGAATAAAGAGATAGAAGAACTCACCAAGATCTGTGACGAACTGATTGCCAAAATGGGGAAAAGCTAACTTTGAACCAAATGTCTGGACTTGACTGTTGCGTGCAATATGACCGTCGGCACACTGCTGTCCGCCCGTTGTGCGGACGGGTTCTCTTTTCACTTTTTCGTATGCACTACTGTATTTCCTTTCTAAATAAAGTTGATTTGATTGTATGCAGTTCTAAGGAGACTATCAGAATTTCTTGCTATTGGTTTGCATTTTCCTAGTATAATTCATAGCAAGTTGACCTCAGCGTTCCTGTATCAGGGAGATGGTCTGATTCTCTAATAAAAGACACATCGCTGACCTTGGCCTTGCCCTTTGTACCTGAGTTCCCAGGGTGAGCAGCTTTTGGATTTCATATGAACTTGTACAGCTTGCACAGGGACTCTTGCCTTAAAGAGCGTAAACTTGATCTGCATTTGCTGATTTGTTTTAAAAAAAAATGCATGTTTCAAATAAAATTCTCTATTGTAAATAAATTTTTTTCTTTGGATCTTGGCAGTAAGTGTGGCTCGGATTTTTTTTTTTTTTTTTTTTTTGTGGGACCCTCGCCGGCAGCCGGGGAACGAACCGGCGCTGCAGAACCGGTGCTGCAGAACCGGCGCTGCAGAAGCTGCGGGCAGCCTCGCAGCCCAGCGCTCAACCGCTGCGCCACAAGAGGAGGCCCAGCTCGGATTTATTTTCTGGGAAGGTTTTGAGTCTTTCCTTGCCTCTGTTAAGCGATAGCAAATTTAGCCTTTTACTCTTCTCTGGAATCTTCTTTATCCGGAGGGTTAAAAATAACCTTTCCTTCATTGTCGTGCCTGAGTTTGTAAGCTGAAGCTAATGAGAAATATTGACTTGCTACTTAAATAATTAAGTGAGTATATCGGATTACTTAGATTTTGTTTGTACAAAGTCTCTTTGACATTAGGGGGCAAAAGCTATTTCCTGTGATTGACTCAAGGAAGTAGCAGGCTGTCCGCCTTCCTGTCTGCTCCCCTGGTGTGTGGAGATCCACCCTGAAAGATTATCCTCTCCCCCCTAAAGGATTAGCAAAGGGTGAGCAGTAACCATGGGAGAAGGCAGTTAAGCCACGTGGGAGGTGAGAGCAGAGCATGTGTCTGATGTCAGACTCCTTATTGGAAGGTGGGAGTGTGGGTAGGGAGTGAGGGATGGGAAGTGTCTTGGTTTCCTAAGACTGCCATAGCAAATCACCCCAAACTTAGCAGTTTGAAACCATACAAAAAAATTCTCTGGCAGTTTTGGAGGCCAGGAGTCAGCAGGATGTCCCCACTCACCCCACCTCAGAGACTTCCTAGAAGCCTGTCTGAGGGAGTCTGTCCAGGCCTCTCCCACTCCTGATGGCCAGCATTCCATGGCTTCTGGCCACATCACTCCAATTTCTGCCTCACTCTTCACCTGGCCTCTGCGTATCAAGTATCCCTTCTTTCTAAAGACACCAGGCATTGGATTTAGGGTCCACCCCAGATAAACGCTTTTCAGGTGGAGCGGGTGAGGGCTGGGACAAGAGTGAGGTGAGAACTGAATTTCTCATCTCCTAAGGAAGCCCGGTTCTTCCCAAGCACTGACACGAAGGCCCCCCCCCCCCAGCCAGAAACACAGGACACGTGACTCCAGGTCAGAGCAGATCTTGGGGGACTCTATACAGTCTCGGGGGCAGGCTTCACCCCAAATCCAATGATCTCAAGACTGAATTACATCTACAGAGACCCTCTTGCCAAATAAGGTCACCTTTGCAGGTAGTGGGAGTTAGGATGTGGGCACATCTTTCTAGGGGAATGTGTATGCTTCTGTAGGGTGTGTGGGGTGGGGTGTAAACTTGGGAAGCAGACCTGAGCCCCTGAAGGTGCTTGGCTGGAATGACCCTCTTCCTGCTCAGGATCGAAGGTTACAGGCTGCTGCCCTCACATCCTCCCAGGTAGCTTCAGGTGTGGAGACAAGATGGTGGTACAGAGGAGGTAACTTCCAAGGTAAAGCTTGCCTGTGACGGGCAGCTCAGGGAGAGAAGGGTGCATGCCTGCACCCAGCTCCCTCCTGCAGAACTGCTTCTCGGGAGAGAGCCCCAGCCTGTAGTCAGACCACCCTGACCCGACCAGGACCTAAGCCAGGGCAGGACACTGCCTCCTCCCGTGCCCAGCAACCTCTGGTTGGCCCAACCGCCACCCTCACCCAGATGCTCCCCTGGCAGGGCACAAACCTTCTGCCACCCTCACCCCAGATTCTGCGCTCAGCTGCATTCTCAGACCAGACCAGCTCCAAAATCTTGGAAACGTTTTTCGTATTCAAGTGAAACATTTTCATTGCCAAAAAATTAGAAAGACAGATAAGGGAGGAAAGAAAACCATAATCCCCAGACGAAGAGATCATAACTGTAAATGTTTTTATATGTATTTTTCTATACTTCGGTTCTTTCTGTGTGAGATGTCCGTGTATTTATCTTTATAAAAGGGAAATTGGAGTTTCGTGGCCACAGCCCTCGGCGCGGGTTTCCTCCGTGCTGCCTAACACATGATAGTGCTGAGCGTGTGTGTCAGGAAACATCTTAATCATCATTTTGAGCTACACGTGAGCCCCAGGGACCAAAGCACTTAACAAACTGCCCACCGTGGACATTTGCATCGTGCCCAGTGTTTCCTGTCATGGTGCACACTCGCTGCTGTGAGCACCCCAATGCTTCATGCCTGCCGCAGAGAATCTGGGTGAGTCTCCCCCAGAGGCCCCAGCACTCTCCTGGGGATGACGTGGGGTTATGGCCATTGCAGTGAGGGAGGATGCCCAGCAGGGGGAGCTGTGGGATTTCTTAGAGGTCCTGGGAAGCCTGTGGTGAGGATTTGGCTTCCTGGGGTGACCCTGGAGGCCCCAGGGTGCAGGCCTTCGCTTCAGGGCATGGGGACAAATCTCAGGTCGGGTAAGTGTGATGTGGAAGCAGAGAAGCTGCTGTAATGGGTCAAGAGGCAGTTGCTGCTGATATAAATTAACCAGGATGGGAGACTATTTGATCCCTCTGCTTTGGCTACAAGTCCTATTCTGTGTTCAGACATTATCACGAATCACTCTGAAGTAAAGACACCAGATAAAAAACCAGACGTTAAAAATATGTGCTGTGCTTGCTCTTGTAGCTTCTATTACATAAATCACACCTCCAAAATAAAAGCTGTTGGAAACCCTCCGTGGAGCTGGAGAGTCGAGGTGCTGCCTGCCATGAGTTCTGTGCTATTGTTCATGGTCAACGGGAACAGCAGGGCCGCTGTGAGCTGGGCCAGCGCCTGGAGGCCCAGGCTCTTTTTCTCAAAGATACATTTTTATAGTTTGGGAAGCCCATTGCCTAATAGCCTTGCAGTAGGACTGCACAAAATATACCCCCCAATACCCGACATAGACCCCACCCCACCCCCAGTGGACACGACCCCTCCTGGGGCCTAGGAGCTGGGCTCCCCCCAGCTGCTCTGTTGGCCTGGCCCACGCTCAGCCGCAGGTGCACGGCCTGGCCTGAGGGATCTTGGCCCTGGCGTTGCCTGGCGCGGCGCCTCTTGCTCAGACAATGCTGAATATCCCTTCACTTGTTACCCAGCCTCATGTGGGTGCTGTGCCACCCACCTGGTCTCCTTCAAAGCTTTAAGAACAGCCAAGGGGAGGCCCCCGCTAGGGGGTGCAGGGGTGGGTGGGGGGGCTAGCCTGCCAACCTCTTCCTCCTTCCCTCTGTGGGTCAGTGGCAGGAGAGAGAAGTGCCTGGAAGCAGTCCCTGTGTGGAGCTGAGAGCAGGTCCAGCCCGGCACCTCTCGCTGTGCAGTGGGGGCAGGCGGCTTGCCCTCTCCGGGTCTAGTCCGCGTGTCTACACCTGCAGGGCCGCCGTGCAGGGTGCCTGGTCCTCGGTCCGCATGGGTCCCGATCAGCGCTTTTTCACCTACACTCACTTTGCTGAATGAGTAGGAAGAACACGAGGGGGAACCTCTGGGGAGCTCAGCGTCACTCAGGAGCTTGTGTCGGCCAGATCAGCTCACCTGCAGCTTCTAATCTGAGTTCCAGCTCAGCGTTTCCTTGAGGCTCTCTGTAAAGGGGGGTGTAAGGGCTGCATGGGGCCACAGGGCAGGTTTTCTGACCCAGCAGATCGGGTGAAGGAGGAGTCAGGGTCCTCGGTGGCTTTTGCAGGACTTTTATTTAGATTTACCAGGCACATGGCAGGCAGGGGTGCTGGGGGGCCAGGAGGCTGGCAGGCCTCCCAACCCCAGCAAATCCTCACTCTATCTGGGCTCTCTGGCCTTCTGTTTCTCTTCTTCTCTCAGCTTCCGTTCATTCTTGGCTTCTGCTGGCGTCCCCGTGACGCCGCCCTTATAAACTCAGTCTCTCCGCCCAGGTGTACCCACTCCAGGTGCCGCCATCAGGCATGCATTCAGGACCACAGGGTTCCCGCATCTATCCTAATGGTGGGAAGGCAAAAAAGCCTGATACTTTTTCCTTACCCTACAGGGGGGGCTATGAGATACTAGCATGTAGGACCCCCCAGGGGGAGAGGGGGCTGGAAGGAGAGAAGAGGCAGGTGACTTGCCCGACTCATCCAGGAGAAGGGCGAGGCAGGGCTGGATCTTGGGCCTGCACTGACTGCAGGTGCCTGGCACTCCCAGGCTAACAGGGGAGAACGTGGGGGAGCAAGCCCAGGGGAGGGCACCCCAGCACTGCCGGGGCCCTCACATCAGTAGGAAGTCTGACTGGTACCCCCAGCCTTGAGCCTGGGCTGGTCCCTGTTCTTTAGCTGGAAACTGTTCTCCACACACAGGGGAAGGTGGCAGGGGTGGGGGGACAGGCTGATGCCAGTCACTTTGCTCCTCCTCCTCTTCCGGGGTGTCCCTCTGCAGTCAGTGAGCCAGGGTCACCTGCCCAGGCTGGGGGCACTGCCCGGACCTGAGTCCCCTGGGCTGGAACAGCAACGGCAGAATCTAGAGACTTCACAAGTCTCTTTTGGGTTCATTATGAACCGAGAAGAGTGACCAGGAGGCCCAAAGGGTTAAGACCAGACAGACCCAGACCCCTTGGCCCTACATGCCCTGGGGGAGCTGAGGTCACATGGCGAGTTCGTCGCCTGTTCAGTCCAATCCAGTATCCAGAGGTCCTTCTTAGCACAAGGACCAGGCCCCGGGGACTCTGGAGCTACACTTTCCACCAAGGAGGTTAAGGTAGGTCACGTCCAGGGTCACAGAGCTGGGGTTGGTAGTCGGGTGCTCTTCAGCCCCCACGATGCCCCCATAAGGTGGCTGGATGGAGGGGTCTGGGGTGGATTCTATGAGAAGGCCGTGAGTGCCTCAACCCTGGAGTGTTCAAGAAGATGGGCACCCTACAAGGATCCCCCTGTAGCTGGGTGGGAGCTGTTGGTGCACCGTGGTTCTGGCCAAGGGCTGTGCTCGTGAGGCCTGGAGTCGGAGCCAACGAAGGCCTGTGCTGGCCAGACTCAGGCCTTCTCTGGGCTCACACGGCTGCGCTGGTGTCTACCGCACCCCAGCACGCCGGCGCCAAGAAAGACCTTCAGGGAGCCCAGTGGGGTCATTACCGCTTATTTGCACTTGTCTTTGACGTCGGCTGATAGCTCAGCCACCAAGAACTCGAGCCACAGCTCTGTCAGAGATGTGCCCACAGAGGGCTTCGGGGTGAGCTGAAAGCCCTGGATCCCTGAGCTCAGACCTTGCAGCGGGCAGCAGACAGGGCCAAGGTCAGGTCCTACTTAGGAAAAGCGGAGAATGTGGCCCCCTGGGCTGCCTTTCCAGAGCGGCCACTAGAGGGAGCCCCGGCAGCAGCTGAGGGCATCCCTGCCCCCAGGCCCATCATGGAGCCGGATGTTCAGATGGTTTGGGACAATGTGTTTCCAACTCTTCAACTGAAACCGTGCGTGGGGCTCCGCATTCCAGGGGCGGGGAGCAGGGCAGTGTTGGGATGTCAGGGAGGGAGCAACAGAGCGCTAATTGATCCATTTGTTCAGGCACTGCTGAGTGGCCCCACAGCAGACGCACACGTGTGGACATGTGTGTGCATGCACACAGGCAGTGCCCTCCATGTGCAAAGGCAGAGCCTCCAGCTCTCTGAGTTGAGACGCTTGGGCACTTCGGAGGTTGGTGGCTCTGCGCTGTGGGGGCGCAGGGCTGGGCAAGCTGCCGTGAGGACCACCTAGTCCCAGGAGAGGCAGGAGCAGGAGGAGGTACCTTCAGAGGGGCCCCATCTGTAGTTTCTTACAGTTTCTAGAACACGATTACAAGTGGCTGTGCAGCTGCTTTCCTGTTCTGCCTCACCACCGGCGCGGCTCCTGCGAGGCTGCTCAGGAAGGCCGGCAGGAAGCCTGTTCTCAGGCTCCGGCCCCCGGACTCCTGGCTTCTCCCTGGGCTGGATTTCTGGGAGCCCCTAGTGGGAAACCAGGAGTTCAATGGGCTGTTTCCCAGGTGTGATCTGTGCAGCCCCCACCCCCCCACTTCCTACTTGGGGGCCCAGACATCACAGATCCAGACCCTGAGGAGGCGGCCAGATCACACCCGGCCGGTGGATGAGGCGCTTGGACTGGCCCCAGCCCGGCCTTTCAGCGGTTCTTAGTTCCCCAACAAAGCAATTTAAATATCATTGATCAACAAAACCAATCAAAAGGCATAATTCTGACGAATGTAAGCCCCTTCCATTTTAATTTAAATATTTTTGTCGAAACCTTTCTGGATATGAGGGCTGGAAACGGAGCGGACCAGAGGCCGAAGCGGAGAGGGAGGAGGACCTGCTGGGCCCATCTCCTCTCTCAGGTGGGGCCTGAGGATCTGGGGTAGATTCTCATGGAGGCTCTTCCCCAGACTCTTCCGGGGTTGCCCACCCCCAGGGCCATGGGGATATAAGAATGTCACCACGGCCAGCAGGGGGGTCAAAGAGGAAATAGGTGGCCCCCAGTGGTCCCCCCGCAGCCACTCAGGAGGGCCTCCCGCAGCAGGGCCTGGCACAGGAAGTGCTCAGAACCATCCCCGACGTTGCCATGGCGCCCGCAACAACCAAGGAAGCCGGAGAAAAGCCCAAGAAAGAAGAGAGGAGCCCAATGTCATGCTTGCCCTCAGGGCTCGGTCTCAGAAAACCAACAGCCCCCAGCACACCTGCCATCCAGCGACGCACCTGCCACCCAGAGACGCGCCTGTAACCCAGAGGCGAGGCCATGAGAGCGCGGCCCCTGTGAAGGCACTGCGGGGCCGGGGTTACAGGACAGTGAGTGTGGCTGGTACCGGTCATCCCCTCAGGTACAGAGGGCGTCCTGGTGACAATCGGGCTGGACGTGGCTCCATCAGGGGGCCGTGGGGGCTCCCATGGGGACCGGCCACGCAAGCGGCAGACGATCTGATCAGCCCACTTTGAGCCCACCGGAATCACCTGGGTCCAGGGTTAAGGATGCTGGTTATCTCCCGTTCTGCTTTATGTGGACCACATCCCCAGCACGATAAGCGAGAATCCTCTTGCTACTCATGTGCTGTTAAAAAATAAGAGAAGGCCTCCCTGGTGGCGCAAGGGGTTAAGCACTGCACTATGAAGCAATCCGCAGCCTCTGCAGCACGAGCTTGATCCCCGGCCCACCAGGGAGCTATCCACGTGGTGCAGCAGACCTCTCCTGACTCGCCCGCTGCTCCCCTCCACAGTGTATTTCAGTCAATCTGCCTGTTCTGCTCCCCACTCTGTCTCTGGTGAATCCTCTCACCCCCCCACCTCAGACCCGTACCCCAGCTCTTGTATGCATAAATAAATAAATCTTAAAAAAAAATAAAGCATAAGAGAAAAAGGAGATAATCCACACGCTAGGCTCCTTCGTTCTTACTTTTGTGGCAAAACATAGATTCTCTAGGCCACTCTCCGAACAATTTGAAGAGACCCATGGGAACTTTTGGACAGTTCAAACTTTCTGCCTTTTGTCTTCCAGGAGCTTCTTCTCACCCTGCTGTGTCGCCTTCACCCTCGTTCACAAACATGCTGCCTCAGGTAAGTGAATAGCTTCACAAGTCGGCAGGTGATATGTTTTCCACTCCCGGGTATATACCCACAAGAACTGAAAACAGGGTTCAAACAGAAACTCGTAGTGAGTCTTGACACTATGGTGTCCCTTGATGGTGGTGTTCACCATGACCAAAGGTGGAAACAGCCCAAGCGTCCATCAACTGATGAAGGTCTAGTCCCCTGGAGGAATATTATTCAGCCATTAAAAGGAATGAAATTCTGACACCTGCTGCAACATGGTTGAACCTTGATGTCATTTGCCAAGTAAAGGAAGCCGGATATTACAGGCTACGTATTGTTTACTTTCACTGATAGCCGGTATCCAGCAGAGGCCAATCCTTAGAAAGCAGATTAGTGGGTGCCAAGTGCCAGGAGAGAGAGATTGGGGGTGATGGCTTAATGAGTACAGGTTTCCCTTTGGGGTAATGAAAACAACCTGAACTAGAGGGGGTGGTAGTGCCACATTGTCAATATACTAAATGCCACTACAGTGTACATTATAAAATGGATAGATTGCAGAATTTTGTGTTTTGTATATTTTATCATTTAAAAAAAAAAAACAAAACAGTCCCTGTCCCAGATCTCCATAGTTTGGACTGCTGGGGGTGTCTACAGAGCTACTTGCCAAGAGACGCTGCTTCTCCCCAACTTCTGCCTCTGCCATCTCCCTTCCGGCTCCTAACTTCCCAGCTGCTCTGAGCTTGAAGTCCTGTGCGCCGAAGGCACGCTGGCCTGGGAGGGTGGCTCGTGAGGAACTGTGGCCAGGATTGAAGAACAACCAGCGTTTGAAAATTTGTCTTGATTGTCTTTCTACTGTACAATTTAGAAAACCTGTCACGCACGTGAGAGGTTGCAGAAAAGCTTCCCCTCTTCCTTCCCTTCCCAGCAGCACCAAGCTCGGCTGGAGCGCCGGATAGTTGGCTCCACCAACCGGTGGCGTTTTCCCAAAGAGCCTTTCTCGGGGGACCTGCTGGCGCTTTCCCAGATGTGCAAAGCTTTGTGCATAAACTTTGAGGAAGCTCTGAAGAACCCAGAGAGGTAGGGAGGTCAAGTCCGGGGACCCACCAGGAAGCACCCCAGGCTGGGGCCCCTGGAGTGGGGTAGAAGGGCTGCCTTGGGGCGCATGCTGCGGGGAGGGGGCACAGGGGCCCTGCGGAGGGCTAGGTCTCTAGGCAAAGGGACCCAGAGCCTCCTGCTCTCCAGTTTTTCTTCTGTGCTGGATGAAATATCAAGTCCCCTCTGGGGGCAGGAGAAGCTTGTGGGAAGAGGCAAGGATGGAAAGAGGGGACCCCCTCCATTTCTTTACCAAAGAGCAGTTCTGGGAGAGCTGAGTCTAGAGACTGGGGAGTGGGTAAGAGCTGCTGAGAACAGATGTTCCGACCCAGCACCAGGCATCTTGGCTCTCTCCCTCCCCCAGCACCTCCAAAGCAGGTACCTTAATTTCCACGTACAAAGGAAAGCCCCAAGTCCAAGAAACTGGCCCAAGGTCCTGTGGCAGCAAAGTGGGGGCTGGGATCCTGGCCCAGGTCTGCGTGACTCTGCCCAGAACATCAAACTGGAGTTTCACAGGTTGAGGTATCGAGCGGGATCCACCTGTCCGTGAGCAACTTAGGGAGCTCCCCCCTTCCCCTCTCCTTCCTCCATATTGGGTCACGATTGGGGGAGTGAGCCCCCTACCCCTGCCCAACAGCACATTCCCAACAGCCTGCAGTTGTCATCCCAGGACAACTCACAGGCGCCCCCTGCCATTTGCCTTCCCAGTGCTCCCTGGGCCCTGCGCCCCTGGCCGGCAGCCCTGACACCAGAGGGCGATGCGGCCCTTCTGCTGCCCGGCACCCCTGGCTCAGAGGATGATGACGGTGATGTTTGCAAGGGTGGTTGAGCTCATGGGCATCGCCCCACTCTTGTTCCGTCTGGAGATCACCGTCTGAACTCCTGACCTTGGCCAGCTCTTCCTAGACGTGTGGCCCAAACCCCCAGGGGGCTGAGGCTGGCTTGGGTCAGGTCCTCTGCCCCAGTGGGTAAACAACCTAGGCTCCCCGCCCTCCCGGGCCTGAGTCACTCATGGTCTCTCCGATGGGCAGCACGTGGCAGTGCGGTTCTGGACGCAGGCTCCCTGCCCAGGTCCTGCCCCAGGCACCCTGGCCCTTGGGGCTCCAGCTCCTTGGGAAACAGCTGAGCAAAGGTGACATTGACTGGCTGTGGTCACTGGCCGGCCAATGCACTTTCTTGGGGTGACTGCCTTCAAACCCTGACTGTGTGACTCACACTTTCATTTCCTTGTTTAGCGGGATGAACATCGTGTTTATGGAAAAGTGTCTTATCTGCGTCGGCTTATCTTGAGCTGGGGCGCCTGTGCGAGCAGGCAGCTGTTAATCAACCCCAAGTCCGCCTTGCGGAGCAGAGACCAGCAAGAGGGTGCACAGGCTGGCAACCCCAGACGCCAGGGAGGGAGCCGGAGCAGCCGTGCGCTGGTGGGGGGCTGGCGGCAGGGAGGCCGCTCACCCAGCCCCCCAGAGAAAGCAAGGAGGAAGTTCATCTGGCAGGATGAGCTGGGCCTCGTTGGGGGAAAGATGAGGCGGACAGTGCTTTGAGAGAAGGAACTATGCGTCTTAGAGGAGGAGAAAGGTGTCAGGGCTCCGGGCAGATGGGGCTGCAGCCTGGCGCGTGGCAGGAGGAGGCCGCCGAGATGCTGAGGAGTCAACAATAGCTTTGGCAAAGGTCATAGCCGTGAGGGCAAAGAGAGCGGGGAATTCAAGGGCTGTTTCACCAGAGCCAGGCTGGTGCCCAGGTGTGAGGAGGCTCGGGATGCTGGTGGGCGACTGCGGCCCCGGTGCCCTTTCCTGAAAGGGGCCCTGGTGGGGCTCGGGGGAGATTCCAAGCTCAGTTTCTGGGGACATTGAGACTGAGCATGTGTGGCCCCTCAGGAGAGGTCTGGGTGGGTTAACGTCCCCTGGAAATGTGCAGAATCTTCTCTCCATTTCCCCAGCAGACGCTGTCTGAGCACCTGCCACAGACCAGACGCTATTTCAAACCCCCACCCAACAAGGTGTCATGCAGGCTCCCCCTTTCTTTCCACGAGGCTGACCCCCACACTGAAGCAGGAATGAATGGCTTGGCAGGCGTCAGGCCAGCGGCCAGCGTGGCCCCAGGGAACGTCCCCAAAGGGCGCGATGGGACGAGGCTGACGCGGAAACTTCCGGGTTGCCCCGGACGGGTTCATGTAGCGGTTACAGAAAAGTGTTGGTGCTAATGGCAGGATTTTGTGTCTATTTTTCCTTGAGGTTATCCTTTTCACAAATTCAGAAAGTTTTTCCCGAGAGTTTGAAGAAAAAGCCCATCCAAAGCAGGGAGCCAGGTGAGATCTTGTCGCCAGAATGTGGGCAGCTCTCGGGGTGGCTTATAGCCTCCAGAGGAACCCAGCAACAGGCCAGGGCAGGGAACGACACTCTCCAGGAGACGTCTGGGAATATCCAGAGACGTCTCTTGTCATCGCACCTGGGGGCAGCAGGCGCTACTGGCAGGGGGAAGCCAAGGTGCGGCTGACCATCCACAATAGACACGCAGGCCACTAACTCGGGATTATGTGGATCCAAGTATCAGGTGGAGAAGCTCTGGGAAGGGAGACAGGTCAGGCCCCAGGAGCATCCCTGCTCCATGAAGATTTTCCTACTCCCTAAGGTGAGGGGCACTCGTGTCCCCCACACCTGCAGACGCTGGCCACTGGCTCTCATGGCCGTGGAAGGCTGTCACCTTCTCCCTTTCGGTCCTGATGGGCCTAGCGAGCCGCCTGCCAGCTCTGGGGGGGGGGTGGGGGGTGGAAGCACCTAGGCTGTTGCTGGAGTGTTTGTTCAGCATCCTTGTCTCTCCTCAGATGTGATTCTCGAGTGTCTGGGCTTGCGGTGGGAACTCCACCAGCCCCAGATCTTTCAGTCTGAGACCCTGGCCAAGCTCTACCTGGCAGCGCTGGTCCGGAACACCACCAACCCCATCACAGACCTGGAGAAGCTCCTGAGAGGTACTTCCCCATGGGCACCCTTCTAGGGAACCCCAGCCCCTCCAGTTTGAGAGGCCCCAGCTTGACATCCCGTAATCTGTGTGGGGTCAGGTCCCGGTGGGTGAATGGCAGGACGGAGCCTGTGGGTAGGAGGCTGCGTGGAAATCCAGGGGAGGACAATGATCCAGAGCCAGGAACGGGCCTGGCACTTAGTAGGTGCTCAAGAGCAATGTGCTGAATGAGAGCCTGAGCAGAGGCTGGTGCCAAGAGTGCCAAGAGGGGAGGCCCGACCACCCAGTTTGCTGAGAAGGGATCTTTGTTCTCTCCCTCCTCCCCCCACCCCCGACAGTCTCTGTGGTTGCTGGTGTGATCTTCTTTGTGGCGCCTGCCTCATGTCACTTTGCAGTCCCCAGAACCGTGAACTTATGGGATGGGGGGTCCATTCACTCCATGGACAGCTGATATTTGTGGCGTGTGCACCAACCTGCCCGCCCAGGCCCCAGGCGCCGGGCTGTTGTATCGCCTGCGGCCTTCAGTGTGAATGCCCCACAGCAGTGGTGTGAAAGCGGGTGGTCTTGGGGGAAGAAGAAAACCAGTGGTGGTGGGGGCGGGGGGTGTCACCCCACAGATAGGTCAGATAACCCACAAGGGCGAGGGAGGGAGCCAAGAGTCTCCTGGGGAATAAGCTACCAGAAGGCAGGCTTGGGGCCCCATGAGTCAGAGAGTCGTGGGGTGGCCTTGGGGGCCCTGGAGGGGCATTGGCTTTTTGCCCAGGGGGACGCCTGGCAGCAGCCTGTGCGCCAGCTCACATCTGGGAGTGATTCCGAGGGAGGGACCGGCAGTGCACTGGCTTGGCCTTCCTGGGGAGCCTTCAGGTGGGGGTCCCATTTGGAGATTTGGGGGCTGCTGGGTCAATGCCTCTGCCCCCCATTCATCCTTCAGCAGGCGGTCTCTGTGCTGCTCTCACCCTGGTCCGAGTTGGATGCTCGGGGTGCAGAGATGACTGAATCCCAACCCCCACCCTCAACCTGCTCACAGACTGATGGGAGGGTCGGGGAGGAGGGGACAGAGAAAGGGGGGGAGGGGGCCAAGCTCAAGGTAGTGTTGGGGCCTCCTGGCATCTTGCACTGAGTGGTGGCCACATCCACGCGTCCCTGCCCCTTTGCTTTACTAGTCCAGTTGCCTGAGAAGAGCAAACAAAAACCCCCCATAAGGAAGGTGACCATTTCCTTGAAGATCAACGACCCGATGGTCACCGAAGCCGGTAAGGACCCCGCCCTCCCGGCCGCGCCTGCCCGGAGCACACAGGCCTCCCGGGTGTAAAAGCGAAAGTCGTGTGATCAGTGCCCGCTTGTTGGAGGTGAAGGGGCGGCGCGGAGGGAGGAGGGAGGCGGGCAGCAGGGGCGGGCAGCAGGGTCGAGGCAGCAGGGGCTGTGCGGGTGACAGTGCTCGCCCTGGGCAAACAGCGGGAGCGATACGGAGGAAGAAGGGGCTTCTCAGATGGACCCGCTCACACCGCCCAGGGCCCACCCTCCCGAAACCTTGACCCAGCCCTGCCCTCCAAGGCCACTTGCTGGAGGGTCCCTTGGGCTCATCCTGTCCCCATCACACCCCGGCCCCCTAGAAACAGACGTCTGCATTGGCACAAGCTGCCTGCCGTCATGTGACGTCTGGCACCTGAGACATACTAGGTCGGGGAGTCCCCCATTCACCCCCACCCCGGCCCCGTGACCTCAGAGCACCTCAGGCCCATTACAGGCTTTTGGGGCCCCAGCAGAACTTGGGAACAAGCCCAATCCCTCTGCCCCCAAGCTGCTGGATCTCCAGCCAGAACTATCCAAGGCTCCTGGATCTCCCCGGGAGTCCTTAACTTTGTGAAGACCCCAGACGCCAAGGAAACTGCTGCAACCTTTAGGTCAGCAGCTGCAGAGACACCTTTGGGTGCACAGGGCACCTCCTCCCTGCACAGAGCATGGGCCCTGGTTAGGAGAGAACAGGAGGCCCAGGCGCCGAGGAGAGGCTACAGCGCGTTCTTGCAGCAGGTTCCCTTTCGCGCCATCCCCAGCTCTTGGGGCAGGGGTGGGGAGGCTGGGAGCGCTGCGCTGCCTGTGCCTTTTCTCTGAGGGCATCTGCCCACCCAGCTCCTGCACATAGAGCACCCCGCAGGGAGGTGCCCACGGGTAAAGGCCTCGGGTGCAGCACCCTAACTGACCGCTCTCTCTCGGATGCGGCCCCCGCCCCCAGCCTTTGCCATAGCCCTGAGGAACCTCTACGTGAGCGAGGCAGAGATCGACATGAACGAGGTGCTGGGTGTGCTGGCTTCTGCATACATCCTCTGCCTCAGCAGCCTGTTCCAAAGGTAAGGAGGCGTGTGGGCGGCCGGGCCAGCCGGGGCCCTCCCAGCCACGGCCACGAACAGTCCCGGTCTCTGGGTGAGGACCCGGGATCCACAGAGCTGGGCTCTGAGCCTGCAAAGGAACAGAGACGCGGTCACGAGCACGTGCGCTCCCAAGGGAACCACATCCTGGGAGCAACTCATCCCCACCCGCCATGCTCTCCTCCAGGGCCAGAAAGCAGTGGGGGGGCCACACCTGAGAGGTATTTTGCAGATTTCGAGTGATTTCCAGCAACGCTCGGGCCACGCCAGCTTGTCCATCTCATCTGTGCTTGTTTCTCTCAAAATCTCCCTTGATGCCCAAGCCTTTCCGCGGGCTGTGTGAAGAGAGCTGGCTCCCTCCCTCAGGGCCCCCCTTAGATAAAAAAAACCCCTTGTATAAGATAACCCCCCCCATCAGATAAAAACCTCAGTATCCCATTTACACACGGTCACTGTAGATCTTTTGGAAGAGAGCAAAATGCAAAGCTCAAACTGAGCATTCCAGCCGCCCCACTGCCCATTTCGGGGCCCAGCCATTTTGGAACTCCCAGTCTTTCTCAGTGAACCCCACCAGCCCCCCCTTGGGCGTGCCATGAGGGAAGCTGTCAGGGGGAGGACCAGGAGGCATTTACAGAGGGTGGAGCGTGAGCACTTCCTAACCCAGCGGGCTTCGTTGGTGGGGGGGGGGGTTGCTTAGGGATGCTGCAGAGGTGAGGAGCCGCCTGCGCTCCCCCCTGTGTCGGAGCAGCCGGTGGCACAGCCTGGCAGCCTGAGGCTTGGTGGCTCCCAGCTTTCCTAAGCCTGGTTCTGCAGCCCGAGCCCTGCACGCGTGAGCCACGGGGCCCATGCTCAGCCCCAACGTCATCTGCTCCTTCGGGTACACAGGCCTCAGGGCCTCAACTGTGCCAGGCACACGTCACTTCTGCCCTGCCTGCTTCAAAGGACCTTTGGGAATTTGGGGTGCTGGCACAGAGGGCTGTTAGCTGGGCCTTCTTGCTACGGCCAGATCCTGAACTCAGCCCTGGGTGGGGACGCCCCCTGGCCTGCTCCATGGGAGGGAGGCCACCAGGCTCATTTGCCAGGTGAGGACACAGAGGCCCGAGGGTGAGTGACCTGCCCACACCACACAGCTTCCGAGTCCAGCAAAGGAGAGTGGGGCCCCAGAACCTGACCCCTCGGGCTGTCCCATTCACTTTGCTCGGGTGAGGGGGTGACGCAGCCTTGACCTTGCAGGCCCCATCTTACGGTCAGACCTTAGTGTGGCTTGCTGAGGCCTGAGCAGGAACGCAGGCCCTTTGTTTTCCTTCCTCCTCCCCAGGCCTTGTTTTGGAGGCCGGTCCAGGAAGGACGTGGGAGACGGTGAGTCAAAGTTGACACGGCCCCACTGAGCCGACCTCAGGCTGCCGGGAGTGGCCGCCTGGGTCCTGCAGAGTTCGGGTGGGGCTGCTATGCTGGTGGGGGTGCAGCAGGCCAGGCACACGCTGGGCAGGGGCTCCCCTGCCTTGGAGAGGCTGACGGTGCAGCTGCGGGGTGTGGCGGCCTGGGCTGCAGCGTGCGTGTGTGCTCTGGCACTCTCGCTGCTGGACGAGCCCACAAAGGTCATCTCCGCTGCGCTGCCAGCCAGGGCAGAGCCACCCGAGGGCTGCTTTGGTCTGAATCACTTGCCCGAGGCACCCATCTTTAGGGGGTGACGTGTGTGCGGGTGGCAACACCCTGCGCTATTGCTTGGACTCACCCCTCAATGTCTGGGCTGTGGGCACAGCTGGGTGAGCCTGGGTTAGTTCTTGCTCTGGGCCCTGCAGTCTGGGGAGCCAGCTCTTGGCAGTCCTGCCTGACTCAGTGGGTCTGACAGTGAGGAAAGGGAGGCTCCCGGGAAGGTGGCAGCCCACCTAACTTCTGCAGCCCACCGAACTCCACACCAGCTAATTCTACCCACATGTGCGTCCTGGCAAAGCCAGCACCTGGAGAAGCCACGACACCCCCACACCTTGGCTGGCGGATGGCCTCGGCCCCCAGGGAGACCAGCCGCTCCAGGGGGAGAAGGGCTTTTTCTGTTCATGGCAGGGATTTCCAGAAGCAACACAGAGCAGGCACTGGGGTGGTTTATCCTGGGAGGGTTGCCTCCCTGCGGCCTGTGGTTTCATGGAGGGGCTGGGAGGGAGGAGCAGAAGAAGCCCCAGCAGCGTGAGACGTCCACAGAGAGATGTCCGCAGGGAGGTGGAAGTTGAACTGAGCCGGGACAATTCCAGTCCTCGGAGGGTGAGCAAGAGGGGACCTGGGCAGAGGAGCGTCGACACTGGGAGGGCTCGGCCACGAAGGCCCAGTGGGGCTGCAGCGGGAAGGGGTGTGGGGAGACGGAGAGGCGAGGGAGAGGCCAGGGTCAGCCCGGGTGGGGCAGACTTGAAGGCCACGTGAGCGGGCTCCGTGGGGTCTGTCGATGAGGGCACGACCTGGGAGGCAGCGAGCCCCTGAAGACCGCAGCGTGAGCGATGGGGAGGGCGCGGGAGGCAGGGGGAGGCCAGGACAAGGAGAAGCTGTTTTGGAAGCCCGGGGTAGCGATGAGGTGGGTCTGACCTAGGCAGGGCATGTGGGAAGGGGGTGGAGGAGAGGAGGCAGGTCTGAGAGACAGTGACGATCTGGAACTGACAGAAGTCTCACCAGCCGACGTGCCTGAGAGAGGACAGCTGAGTCTGGGGTCTGCAGCAACTCCCAAAACGCAGACATTTCCTTGTGATAGAATAAATGCCCTCACAGCCCCAGAGCCCAGGCGCCCGAGGGGAAAAGCTCCTGGAGCATGACCAGGTTGTATAGTCCTTCATTATTTCATGGCCTGTTCTAGTCAAGAGGGCTTCCAAGAATACGTAAAATAATAGGGCACAAAAATTGTTCTTTTTTGTTTGTTAAAGATTTATTTATTTGTTTGTTTGTTTGTTTGTTTGTTTGTTTGTTTGTTTATACATGCACTGGGTACAGTCAGAAGCGCGGGAGGGTGAGAGGATTCACCAGAGCCAGAGCGGGGAGCAGAGCAGGCAGAAGGACCGAAGGACACTGCTGAGGGGAGCAGCGGGCGGCAGGAGAGGTCTGCGCCCCATGCGGGACCCTCCTCCGGTGGCCGGGGAGCAGCCGGGGATCGAACCGGCGCTGCAGAGGCTGCGGGCAGCTTCGCAACCCGGCGCTCAACCGCTGCACCACCAGGGAGGCCCGGGTACAAAAATTGTTTTAAAAAAGAAATGAAAAAGGAGACAAAGCTGGAGAGGTTGAAATTACGTAATAAATTACATAACCTACACTCCTGTTATAGGCGGAGATTTGAGCTTCCTAGTGGCTAATACAAAAAGGGAAACTTGATCAGTGACATCAGACAAAACGAAATAAATGCTGGGGAGAAGCACAGCTGCTCTTACTCAGGCTGTCTTCATCAGATAAAACTGAGCACGTAACGACCAGTGTCCTCACCAATATCCATAAAGTGAATCAAAGATAAATTTTAATAGTGTTCTTTCTCGATATTGGCAGTTTTCACACCAAAATGCTCCCCAGTGTAAACGATTCTCCAGGGGTGTGGTTGGGGGGTAGGAGTGGGCCCCTCAGCTTAGTGGAAGATCTGACTTCGCTGAAGAGTGCCCGGTAGCGTATGCACAAGAGCTTCTGGTTATCCTTGACACCTCTGTGCACAAGCTGTGTGTGTCTTAGGCTGACCACTGGGTGATAGTGAGTTCACAACCGCTCCGTGGAGAGTTCAGTAGCTGTCCTCTGGTGACCTGTTTGATGAAACAATCAGGCCTTATGGAAATTATGTGAAGTCAGAAAAACACTGGACATTTACATAGCAGATGATTTCATAAAAATGTTATTTATAAAAGGGAGTGGATTAATAAACACCACAAGGGCTCTGAGGCTAACTAGGGGGGGTGAAGGAAGGATGGTGCTGGGAAAGGGAGAGAGAGAGAGAGAGAAAATTATGTGTAAGAGAGACTAGTATCAGCCGTGCAATAGCGTCATGGAAACTTCCATGACCCCACCATCCACCTGGCATATCCAATCGCCACATACCCTGTCCGTCCCCCCTCACCTCCTGAGTCGTCTTGACCCCACGCGCTCACTGCCCTGCAGCTGTGCCATCCTTAATGTTCTTCAAAGTTCAGTGCCCGCTCCTGCCTCAGGGCCTTTGCATATGCTCTTTCCTTGTCTCCAAGTGCTGGTTTCCCAGCTCGTGGTCTGGCTAATTCTCTGTCCTCCTCCTTCAGGTTTTAATGTCCCTTTTCTCATCCTCCTACCCCCGGGGTAGATTTCCATTTCTCTGCGTTCCTGTGGCAGCTTGTTCTTTTAACCTTCTAATCAAGCGTAATAGCGCGATTATCCATTCGAATGTGTACTCAAGGTGTGCTGCCCGCTGGCCCATCAGCTTTGTTCTTTGCACCCCAAGGGTTTCACAGGGCGCCTGGTTCATGCTGTGGCTTGAGCAAGTGGATCCTAAATGAGTCAGTGAACCAAGTAAATGAGGCCTACTGAGGGAGGACGTGGATTTTTATCAGGAAGTTGCCCCCTGAACCCTGTGCAGGAAGAGGAACAGAAAGGAGGTCCTGCCTGCAGCACTGGGGGTCTGCACAGAAGGAAAATACCTGCACTGCCTGGGGACCTCAGGTGCCCATCTGGTGAAAAGGAAACCACAACAAGCCCCTTCAGGAGCTCAAACTCTGAGCTTCGTCTCCTTCTGACAGATTCCATCTCAGGCCTCACCGCCCTCAGCCAAAGCTCTTTGTAAAGGTCCTCACTGGTCTTGTCCTCTGGCCACTGTCCAGGCTCCTCCTGCGTGGATAATCCCCTCCGGGAGTTGAGTAGAAGCCCAGTGTGGTCCCTGCGTCTCTGCACCCAGGCTGAGGCCCAGCAACAGCGGCGCTCTCTCTCCCCTGCAGGTGTGTGACCTTGATGATGACCAGGCTCTCGCCAAGCACCATCAAGGACTTCTACCTGGCTGGCCACAAGGTGAGAACAGCTGGGTGGGGCATGTGCAGAAGTTCCCAGACTCGATCCCCTCCAGGCAGGTTCCCTAAAACCTATCCCGTCGCACCAACTTACAGGCACCAATATTTTATTTTGCCAAGCAGACAATTTTTGAAAATAATTTTTTTTAAAGGACAATTTTAATCCCAAAAAAGTTGAGAAGGCTTAATCTTAGGAAAGAAACTGAAGGCACCACCTTCTCATCAAAGCCGCAGACACCCTGTGGGGCGTTCCTGCTGGGGTGGGGCAGGTGAAATGTCCACGGGGCCGTAGGTGTGTCCATGTTGGCGTAAAGGGCGACCAAGTGACCCTTAGCAAAGGAGGCAAACCAGGGAGCTGGTGATGATGCAGGTTGTGAGGGGCCTGGCGGACTTGAGCCTCTGCCCAGAGGCCTGGCTGCATGGACACGGCACCATGAGGCAGACACACCCTCAGCCTCAGCAGGCGGCACAGCTCGGCCTGTCCTAACAGCACTCTAGCAGGTGTTCACCGCCTGCCTTGCCGGAGTCTGCTTGTCCTCACCCTCATGCTGCTGGTCACAGACACTCGCTGGGCGCGGGCAACTTCATCCGGGTCAGCATCTCTCAGCCTCTCTGTCTTGGGAAGGGCCCTCCGTGAGGACACGCGTGGTGCACTGGCCCCTGCTCCCGGGAGCCCTTGTCCACTTTCTCTGGATTCTCATTGTCGGCACGTAGCCTCGGAGCTCCAGGGGGTGCGCCCGAGAGGGCTTTTGATCAGTCCCTGATGTTAGCCCGAGATTCCAGGGTGCAGGCCCCGGGGCGGCACTGGTGCTTCTGAGTCCCGGGGCTACAAGGGTGGGGCTGGGAGGCTCCATTTCCCCTTGGGCTAAATAGTAAATAGGGACACTAAGGACCTGACCGCCTAGGGCTGTGGGGAGGGTTGGTTGAAATCAGCCTAATGAGGGGCCCTGAGCTTGGCAAACACTCAGAAAATGTTACCTGCTGCAGTTCGTGTGTTTTAGAGTAAAGGCTTGAGCCGCCTGAGAGCAGAGGCCTTGTGTGATCCCCGCCCGGCAGAGGGCCCTGGGGATGCAGGGGGATGCAGGGGGCCGCAGGGGGCCGCAGGGGACGCAGGGCACCTCGGCCAGCAGGCTGTTCTTGCCTTCCCAGTACAAGGAAGAGCAGCTCACCACCGCCTGCGAGAAGTGGCTGGAAGTGAACTTGGTGCCTCTGGTGGGGAAGCAGATCTACCTCCGGAAAATCCCACAGGAGCTGCTCCTGAAAGTGCTGAGGTCCCCCAGGTCAGAGCTGGCTCCCAGGAAACTCCCTGGGTGGGGGAGGTGGGTGTTAGGGGAGCAGGGCAGGTGCCACCGGAAGGGAGCCTCTGGGGGGGCACCCACCCCCCTTCTGGACATGCCCATTGGGCAGCACTGCCTCCATCCCAGACCTCCTGCCCCTGTGGACAGCCCTGCCTTGGTGGAGGCAAAACCTAGGGGGTACCAAGGTGAGGTGGGGAGGGCCAGAGAGGGGAGGGGAGGGAAGAGGCGCCCTTCGTGCCCCGGCACCAGAGAAGATGCCCTGAGTGCTCACAGTCTCCTCGCCCGCCTGGTAGTGAATTACTGCGTGAGGATTACATGAACACGTATTCACTGGGGAAACTTTGGAAAACATGGAAAAGCAGGAAAAGGAAAACAAAAGCCCTCGCCCCGAGCAGTGTCAGAGTCCGGCCGGAGCCCTCTCGGGGCTCTGGACACCTGGACGTTCAGCGGCCGCCTGGCCTTTGTGACCCACAGGCGACCACACGGGGTGCCGTCCCGCCCTTTGGGGTTCCTTTGTCAGCCAGAACCCTGGGAGTCCTCTGGATGCCCCCGGGCCCTCCTCCCCAAGTGCCTTCAGTGCTGTTTCCGGGCAGGGCCGCTCTCCGTGGGCGCCGGCAGAAGCCAAACCTCCTTTGCTTCTCCTCTGGACCATTGCAGGGGCCCCTCACCCAGGGCCTCGAACCTGCTCTGCAGTGCCCCCCCCCCAATCTGTCTCTAGCCAAGGAGCCCTGTCCCACCTCACAGCAGCCTGGGGCCGTCCTGGCTGAGCTCCTTGATGCCCCCTGGGCAGGGCTGCGGGGCAGGGCGGCGTCCCCTGGCCCCCTGGCCCCAGTGGGCTGCTTGGAGTTGTTCCTGGAAACATCCCCAGAGCTTGGCCTTTCAGGTCATTTCCAGTGTTTTATTGCTCAAGGAGAACCTTGGTGGCAGCCTCACGTGTATGTACCTTCAGCTCCACTGACTTTCCCATGTTAAACTCCTCCAAGTGAAAGTGCTGGGTCAAAAGGCCTTTCTGTATTTTTTAATTTGTATTTTAAATAACACTTTTTTTTTAAATTGATCACTTTTTAAATTTTTTTTCTTTAAGATTTATTTATTTATTTATTTATTTGTTTATTTATTTATTTATTTATTTATACAAGCACTGGGTACACCAGAGCGGGGAGCAGAGCAGGCAGAAGGACCAAAGGACACTGCTGAGGGGAGCAGCGGGCGGCAGGAGAGGTCTGCGCGCCATGTGGGACCCTCGCCCAACGGCCGGGGATCGAACCGGCGCTGCAGAGGCTGCGGGCAGCTTCACAGCCCAGCGCTCAACCGCTGGGCCACCAGGGGAGGCCCTGTATTTTAAATAATACTTTATGTGACAATAATCGCAAACAAAAGTTGCAAGGGCAGCACAGGGAGTCCAGGTGGCACCCGCCCTTCCTTGCTCACTTCCTGCCGCGCCGAGCGGACCTGCCGCAGGCCTTTCCCTGTGACTCTTTGAGGGCAAGTTGCCTACATCGTGTTCCTAAATGCTTCAGTGTTCATTTTCTAATAAAGAGACTCTTTAAAATATATCCCAGGGAGCTTCCCTGGTGGTGCATGGGTTAAGTCTCAGCGCTGTCAAGCTATCACCAGCCACTGTTTCGCTCCCCATTCTGTCTCTAGTGAGTCCTCTCACCACCCCCACCTCTGGCTGACACCCCATTTCTTGGATGCATAAATAAATCAAAATAAAATCTTTGCACAACAAAAATAAAGCCACAGTGCAATGATCAACTTCAGGAGGGTGAGCCCCCTGAGGGCACCTCCTCTTGACATCTTCATCCCAGCGCTGTCTTCGGGGGCATTCCCCCCTAGCGCTGGCTCCCCTGAGGGTCCCATGTTGCATTGATGTGTCACGTCTCTTTGAAAGGATCCAATATCCGCTGCCAACTTTTTAATTTTAAGATTTGTTCATGGGGGCCTCCCCAGTGGCGCAGCGGTTGAGCGCTGGGTTGCGAAGCTGCCCGCAGCCTCTGCAGCGCCGGTTCAATCCCCGGCTGCTCCCCGGCCACCAGATGAGGGTCCCACATGGCGCGCAGACCTCTCCTGCCGCCCGCTGCTCCCCTCAGCAGTGTACTTTGGTCCTTCTGCCTGCTCTGCTCCCCGCTCTGGCTCTGGTGAGTTCTCTCACCCTCCCGCACTTCTGACTATACCCAGTGCTTGTATAAATGAATAAATAAATCTTTAAAAAATAAAAAAATTAAAAAAAAAAAAAAGATTTGTTCATGTATGCATACAAGTACTGGGATGCTGGCCAGAGGTGCGAGGGTGAGAGGATTCACCAGAGACAGAGTGGGGAGCAGAACAGGTGGATCTACTGAAATACACTGCTGAGGGGAGCAGTGGGAAGACAGGAGAGGTTTGCTGCACCATGTGGGTAGCTCCCTTGTCGGCCAGGGATCGAAATCGTGCTGCAGTGACTCGGCCGCTTAACAGTGTGGACGCTTAACCCCTTGTACCACCAGGGAGCCCTATCCATTGCTAACTTCCTGAGACAGTGCTCCCTTTGGGTGAATTTCAAAGCAGAGGGCTAAATTCCCCTAAAAATGTGAGTGGTGTGTTAGAAAAGAAGTGTTTGCTTTTGCATAGGTGGTAGGAACATTCTAATTGCAGGGATTAGTTCTGGGAATAATTCTTTTCTGCTGGTTGGAATTTACCAAGCAGGGTGCCATGCCATCACATTGGTGAAAGGGGGCTGGCAGGACAGGGCTCCGGAGTTGGCCAGGGGACACTGCTATCTAGAAGACTCCAGGAGCCCAGGCCCTGGAGCAGCCCCAAGCCCCAGGATGGGCACCCAGGGTCACTCTGCTCTGCTCCCCTCAGTTTTCCCGGCAAGCTCCCCTCCTCCCCCAACAAGCAAGGGTTGTGCAACCTCTGTGGATAAGATAAACACGGCATCCTGGGACTTGTCGTAACTGCCCCTCCCTTGGAAAGACTGAGCTGCCCCACCCCGGCAGCACTTAACCAAGAGAGGGGAAAATATCTGACCACAGCCAGAGGCCAGTGCTTGCGGTTTTCGTGGGCACGTCCTGCAGAACGTGCGCTGGGCCTGAAAGAGGTCAAGGCCATGACGTGCAGGTGTCTAGACTGCCCATGGGGAGACATGACTGCAGTAGGAACTGGGTCCTGCTTCCCGGCCCACCCCTGGGAACCATCTGCATGGACCAGCCAGGGCCAGCCCTGCACCCAGAGGAGCGGGCGCGGCCCCGGATGTCACCAGCCGGGGGCCCTGGGGTGCTAGGCAGACAGCTCCGGACATGCGCTTGCACCCAAGGTGAATTCTCACACCGTTCATGTCCAGAGGCTGCTGCTTTAAAGCTTGAGGGAGATGAGAACAGAAGGCACAGGAAGAGGGGTGCCCTGTGCACAGAGAAATGGCTAGAAACACATCCAGGCTCTGCTCCCTACTCTTGCCCGGAACCCACACCCATGTCAGGGCTGGGGCCTCAGAAGGCTGCACTTCACAATGAGGGTGGAGCCTGTGCTCCCCGTTGGTGCTGCGTGTGGGGGGGTGTCAAAGCTTATTGGAGCAACATCCATCTCTTAGCAGATCTTTGGCTCTGGGCCATTCAACCTTGGAGGATGAAGTCACTTTGTCTTCATTGTCATTTGGTTTTGCTTCCATTTTGTGAACAGCCTAGAGGAAAGACACACTTTCCTGAGCTCCTGGGCCTGAGCCTTTGGCTATCAGTAAATCTTAGCGTCCCTGGGAGCTTACCCTGTTGCACAAACTAATATTATGAGAGCTTCATCCCAGGGCTCAGGGATTCTCTAGAAGTCCTGGCAAATGGTAGCATTTTGTCACAAACTCAGAAAGAGAGACTGGCCCATAACTTTTGAAGTCCCCCGTGCTCCCTGAGTCCCTGTCCCCTGTCTGAGTCCTCTTCCCTCTTCTCAGCCCCCTCCCCACCTCCCTAGTGACAACCAGATCCCATGTGTGGCCGGCGCGGGTCCCCTGGGGTGATGAGAGGGGGCTGCTCGTACTCCCCATAAAAAGCTCACAATGTGGTCCTGCCAAGGTCTGAACCTCAAATGTCCTGTTCACAAGGCCCAGCCCCTTGGTTCATGAGCACCTGGGTGTGTTCTCCTGATTACGCATCTCATTAGCATTTTTAATGTAACTGCTGTACAAGGCGTGTTGGATGAAGAGGCAGCGATTTTTATTCCCCTCCTCATGGCCTTTGTTTCTTTCTGTTTTGCTTCATTTTTTGCTTCAACAGTCAACTCCGCCAGAACCATGTTGTCCAGTTCTTGGTATTTACACTCTGGTCTACATTCAAAGGGGACTTTATCATTTAAATACGGTTTTCTCAGAGGAAATTAGAAGACAATCAGTGTTAAAAGCAATTTTTTTTCCTCCTAAAGAATGAATACAAGTTAAGTCCCAGGCTCCTCGGAGCAGCAGGAAGGGCCCAGATGGGACCCTTTGGGGTGGTGCGGGACGTCTCTGTGAGTTCTGTCCTGAGTCTGCGAGTTCTGTCCTGAGGGAGCCTTCACGGCTTCTCGGTGAATGGAGAAGCGCCTGAATGCCCTCAGCCAAGCCCCACGGACACTTGGACTAAAGGCGAAGGCTTTAGTGCTGTGATTACCTTTCACAGTGCAAGTAAAACCCCCACCCCTATTCATGGATCTCCCAGGGGCTCTTCTCGGTTGAGGCCTCAGAGAACCTTCTGGGGTAGGGGTCCTCAGCCTGGGGTCTGCCTCAGAAGTCTCGCAGATTTCGCAGGCTGTGGCCACAGTCCTGGCAGTTCTTCATGGAGGTGTCACACCAGGCGTGTCTGCGGCACCTCCCCTCCTGCCTCACCGGTGCTGACACTGGCAAGGGTGGGTCTTGTCTGGCCAGGGTCAAAGCCTCTGCCTTTGTAGGTGGCCTAGAATAAACGAGAGGTGTGAATGAGTGATGGCGTTGCTGCCCGGTAGACCCCAGCCCCAACCCGGCCCCACCCTCCGTGGCCGTCCCCACAGCCAGCCACGAGAAGACCACTGGGGTTGAGAATCCTTGAAATGTCATTTTAGGGCCTCGGGCATCAGGGCTGTTAGAGCAGCCTCCTTCTTGGCTGGGCCAGCTGAGGTAGTGTGGGCAGGTCGTGGCCGCTGGGACCCAGTCCTGCCACGGGGGAGTCAGCGCTGCCATTGCTGAGCAGGACTTTGCACCAAGCCACGCAATCCTGGGTGTGTCCAGCTCCACAGTGGTCTGCAGAGATGTCAGCATCCCAGCCCTTACCCTGTGGGCATGTCAGGCTGCACGGCAAAGGGGGATTAGGGTTGCTGTGGCAAGCAAGGTTGCTCATCAGGTGACCTTGACAGGGAGAGGTCATCCTGGATTGCCTGGGAGGGTCAGTGGAATCCCAAGTCTCCCTCAGTGTGGAGGAGGGAAGCCGAAGGACACCGAAGAGAAATCTAAAGGCGCTGCACTGCTGGCTTGAAGATGGAGGAAGGGGTCACAAGCCAAGGGATACCAGTGGCCATAGAAGTTGGCAAAGACAAGAAACAATTCTCCCTTAAAGCGCCAGAAGGAAGGCCCAGACCTGCCCATACCTTGATCTTAGCCCACGAAACCCATTTTGTACCCCTGACCTCCAGGGCCTGGAGCCTTCGTCTTGTCTGTAGCATCTCAGTACATGCAAATTTGTTGTAGCCGTAATGGGCATCTCTGGGCAGCCCCCACTCCCTCACCTACCCTCCCCCACACACACACATACCAAACTGCTATGATCTATGATATAACTGTAGAGGAGGGAGTAAGGACTGAGGGAGATACCAAGCCAGCTCGGGGCAGAGCTGAGATTGAACTTGACCCATGCCCAGATGTGACCCTGGATAATGTACTCACATTTCAGTCCCCAACGGGACTGGGATTAAAGGTGGCAAAGAGGCCTTGAATGCTCAGCCATGGAGCTGAAGTATATTTTAGTGCAATATTTTAAAGTCAAAAGTAATGCAAAAACTCATGTACAAAGCATTCGCTCTTAAAAGAAACATGGGGTCTGCCTCAATTTCTACTTCTTTTTTTTTTTTTTCAATTTCTACTTCTATGAAAATTAGAACACAGTCCATCTTGGCAGGATTGTTCAGTGGGGTTAGATAGAAGAACGTGTGAAGGGAGACATCTTGGGAACAGGTTTCAGGGCTCAGTGGGTAGTGCCCACTGTTTGCGGCCACACAGCTGGTCGGCTCCAGGGGTGGGACCCACTCGCCACCCACCAGCCCAGTGACGGGGGGAAGCCATTGCAGGCCTTGCAGGCCGCTGTCTGAGGTCACCTGCAGACTCGGGTGGGACAGTCTCATTCCTAAAGTCACTTTGAACTTTGCATTCTCTTACAGATGCGTGCTTTTGACCCTTCCTAAAACGTCTTCCTAACCTTTTATTTTGACCAGGTTGTTTACTTTCAGTGAATTTCATCTCCTGAAGACAATGCTTTTGTGGGTCTTCTTGCAAATAAACCACAGAACTCAGACTATTCCGACCCATGAAACCGTGTTGGCCTTTTTCAGCAGGTAACATAGCGGTGTTGAATGATGAGATGTGCTTGGCTGTTTTTTGGGCTGTGTTTTTGTGCTCATTATGTCATGGGAGGCAGAGGGAGCATCAGTGATGTCATGTTCCACAACATCCTTCAGAGTGCGATTTTCTTTGTGGGGCCTGAGGGTGTGGAATACCTTTGAATCACTAGATGACTTGAAAAAGTGACACTTGACAAGTGTCAGTGTTATGCTAGAAAAGAATCATGTGCTCCTGAGAACTTGCTCTATGTCCAGTGAAAGACATTATGCAAAAGGTGTCTTTATTTTTTAAAGGAAAAAAAGTAGCTCTTCATTGGAAACCAAACAAAATTTTCAAACTGAAAGCTGGTCCTGTTGCCTTCGAGTAAAAGGTGCTCCTTTTATTCAGGACGACGACCATATATATATATTTTATACTCAAAACATACCCAACTAGGACCAGGTCATTTTCATTTCTTTCTCTTTGAAAAAAAAAAAAAAAAAAGATTGATTTATTTATGCATACAAGAACTAGGGCACATACCAGGGGTGCAGGGGGTGAGAGGATTCACCAGAGACAGAGTGGGGTGCAGAACAGGCAGACCGGCTGAAATACACTGCTCAGGGGAGCAGTGGGGAGACAGGAGAGGTCTGCGGCTCCATGTGGGTAGCTCCCTGGCCGGCCAGGGATTGAACTCGTGCTGCAGAGACTGCAAATAGCTTCATGGGTTGTGTCTTCACCCCTTGCTCCACCAGGGAGGCCCCATTTTCATTTCTGGACTAACGCAAAGGCATATGAATGTACAGAGATTTCAGAGAATGAATCTAATTTCTCCTATGTACTAGGCTCATCAATTTTAAAAGTTATATAGACCTCAACACTTAAGTGAAAACTGATAATGACAGCATCACACTGGGCAGAGCTTACGTGGGTCCCTAAATGCGGAAACCCCAAGAAGCACTTTCTGATAAGGTCGTTCATGATCTCCTTCAATCTGCATGACCCCAGGGCCTACTTCATCGTTCCCATTTTACAGATGAGGAAACTGAGGCAGAGCAGAGATTGTGCAAGTGGTAAAGAATGGAGCCTGCCGAATCACAAGACTCTGCTGCCTACTCCTGGCGGGGCAGATTGGATGCCTCGTGTGCCCCTCAGGGGGCCACAGCAGCAGTGTCCAGGACCTGGTGCTCAAAAAGATTGTGAGGCCGCGCTAGGCTCAGGGTTCTCTTAGCCAGTCTCTTCTAAAATTGCCTCCAGTGCACCATCTTGACCCCTCCTGTGCCCCCTCTGGTGGCTTCCTGTTCACTGTCAGGTTTATATTTCTGTCCCCACAGCAGCAGGGTTGGGGCTCCCAGCACAGTAAGGTGCATTTTAAAAAGCTGAGAAACCCCATTTCTTTCGCGCATGGGAACCCTCTTCCATATTCATTGCATCGTTCTGAAATCTTTGATCCTTTTCTGGAACATCTGTGCACCAGTTAGGTAAAGAGCCCATTTTTTCTGTATCATTATTTGGGGAAAGCGGTATTCAGTGCCAGAATTGTCTGTTCTTTGCTTGGTTTCTATATAATTTACTTTGAGCCCAATTTTTTTAAAATCCCCCCCATTCTTTTAATAGCCCAAGAGACACGTTTTCCTATGAGTCATGCACCCCAGGGAAATTTGTCCTTGGTTCCCAGCTGGCTCTCCCACTGGAAGGTCTTAGCACAGTGTGATGGGAAATGAGCTAGAATGTGACTGAGTCATTGAAACTGTGTTTTCAATGTGAGAGAAACAAATTGGGAAGGTAAAGCTGAGGTGTGTGGCCCCCAAAATGAAAGTGGGGTTTCCATGGCCTTTCGGAGCTGCTATCTCAAAGCTCCTCCTTGACATGAGTATTCCTCAACATGATATTTCTCCAATCTCTTGAATCTATGTTGGTTCCATTTTGACCCCCAAACCTCACCTCTCCACCCACTATTTCCTCCAAGCACCTAATCTTCCTATATAGCCTTCCTTGTTGGAAAACATTTGCATGCTTCCATCTCAACACCCCAACTTAAGCTGCTCTGAATGTATCTCCTACCAGCCCGCCTCCTACAGGAAGTCTTCCTTGATCTTACCTGCTTGCTGGAGACATTCACACTCTGAGCTTCTTCGCAGAGAACAGGGTATGTGCTGGCTGTGGGGTGTGTACAGGCCTTCTGAACCCAACACCCTCTTCTCCCATATACTGTGAGAGGGAACTGCTGAAGAGAACCCCCAGACACATCCTGCACACCCGGGGCCAGGCCTGCTGAAGTCCTAAGGGAATGCTCTGGCTGCTGTGCTGGGGCTGGCAGGGGCCATGTGTGTCTTGTGATGAATGAATGGCACCTGCAGGTGTGACCAGTGTCATCACAAAGTCAGGTTCCCTGACGCAGCGTCTCTTAGCATCTCTGCCAGAATATTCATTTTGAAGTTTCCCAAGAGGACCATTAAATTGATCTCTCTCAGAGGACCAAGCCTGTGCAGGAGGTCATCCAGCTTGGAGAGAGCAGGGTCTCTCATGGCCTGGCTTCTCATTTCTTCTCTTGCTCTGAGCAGTGTGGCCCCTGCTCTCCTTCCGCTGAATCTCCTTCTAGTATTATCTAAGTATTATTCTCTTCTCTAAGTATTTTTAATTCCTATTCCTTTCTGGCTCCCCCACCTTCATGCCTTTTTGGCTACCCACTCACACTTGGTAGCCCCCACAGCATATTCTCTTCAATAAGGGGAACAAGGGGGGCACATGGCACCTGGAGACTGGAGCCTCCACAGAAGGCAGATCAGTTAGTTACCTGCCGTCAGTTTCCAAACCAGGGCTGCCTTGGGCAGTGGTTGGAGCAGTCCTCACAGTGGAGGTGACATTGAACAGGGTTCCCAGGCATATCTGATAGGACTTGGTCTGACAAATAGGCCTAGTCATGGCTGATGGGACCCCACAAGTCTCAAAAATTGGTATGGGGGGCCTCCCTGGTGGCCTATGAAGCTATTTGCAGCCACTGCAGCATGAGTTCGATCCCCGGTCAGGGAGCTACCCACATGGCGCAGCAGACCTCTCCTGATTTGCCAGCTGCTCCCCTCAGCCGTGTATTTCTGTCATTCTGCCTGTTCTGCTCCCCACTCTGTCTCTGGTGAATCCTCTCACCCCCCGTCCCCTCCCGCCCACACCTCTGGCCTGTACCCAGTTCTTGTATGCATAAATAAATAAATAAATCTTTTTTAAAAAATTGGTATGGGATAGGGTAGTCTGTGCGTGTGCCTGTGTGTGCATGAACACACCAGGGCTGGCACTGCCCGAATTCCTGGAAAATAAATGGTGGCTGAGCAGAGGTGTGAAATGATGTGGGAAGGGAGCATTGAGTCCGGAGAGCTGGCAGGGCCGACTCAGCTCCCATTCACTCACACAACACACTGAAGCTGACGAGCGCCCGACACCGGAGAGGTGCCGGGAAGACAAGCGTAAACAACTCACACAAACCCCCCTCTCTGCAGAGTCACGCTCCGGGGAGCAGGGACAGACAGGACAGTCACTAAAGTGGGCGGCTGCGAGATGGCGGCCCCGAGTCCAGTCCCACCTCCCCACGCACCGCAAGGCCTGACTGCATGGAGGAGACACTTCCTCCCGCTCAGGGTCAATGGCTCGAGTCACTGGGAGGGGCCGGCGCACCCCGCAGGGCGTGCTGAGCGGAGGTGACATCTGGCGGGTGGTGGCGGTGACAGTAACCATTTCGTCCCCCACACTCAGGCCTAGGCGAGAACAGGGCCGTCTCTGGCTCTGGAGCTTCAGAAGGTGCCGGGTCTTGTCCACTGGGCAGCATGTGAGAAACGCTGTGTTCCCCGCGCCGTGGGCGACCGCCCCAAAGTGTGCGCTTTTCCCCCCTTGACATTTAACATAGAATTTCCACTATTTTTCATGTAACTAAGTGGTTTTCACCTCGATTCTTTTTCCATATGATAAAATACATAGAACATAAAATCAGCCATTTTAGCCGCTTGCAGATGCGCAGCTCAGTGGCACTGAGCACGGTCACATCTTGGGTGCAGCTCCAGGGCGCCTCATCTTCCTGGCTCACCTTTGCCGCCCAAGCCACTGGGCCCCCTCCCTTCCGCCCGCAGCCTTGCCAGCTGCTCTCTGAGTTTGACTGCTCCAGGGCCCCCCGTGAGTGGGATCAGACAGAGCTGTCCTTGCGTGTCTGGCTGACTTCACTTAGCATAATGCCCTCCAGGCTCATCTGGCGGTGGAAAGTGCCAGAATTACAAAGTGTGTGTGTTAAGCCTAAAGCGTGAAGTGCTGGGCCTTCTGGGCTGCGTCCACCCTGAGCAGGAAGGGTGAGTGACCCCCACAGATTCGGGGCGGGGGGACATGAACAGGTGCAGCTCCGAGGGCTCCAAAGCGGCAGTGTGCCTCAGAGGGGACTGGTCCCCGGGGCCTAGAGAGCGGACAGACCCATGTGCCTTTCAGTATCTAGGAACCGCAAATTCTCCTCCCCAAAGGGCTGTTTGGTGACGTCAGGAAGCAGACAGTAGGCCTGAAGTTTGTTCCAGAAAAGTCAGTGCTAGACCCAAGGTCTCTGCACCACACTCAGTGCCAGGGGACACCAGGCCAACCTTTGATTCCACCGACTTGGCCATGCCAAGAGGTCCCCGAGGAGCAGCCAGCCTCCTCCCGCTCTATGTGACAGCGAGGTTGGGGGGCTGTGCGGCTCGGCCCCTTCTTTCCTCCTGGACACCTGCTTCCAGCCACAATGCCATCTAGCTTGACCCTCTGTTAAATGGTGACACAGAGGCAGAGAAGTTGGGGGCACCCAATCAGGGAAAGGAGGCAAGCAAGGGTCATCTGCTCAGCTGAGATATTAGTGTTCTCGGGGCCCTGGGCCAGCTGCACCTGCCTGGGCAATGCTCCCAAGGTCGGAAGCCCCCACTGCTGAAAGTGTTCAGCGCCCCTCCTTCCTTCAGTTGTGCCCGATCTGTCTGTCCACCACCAGAAACAGGCACACAGTGGGTGCTAGCAATCGTTGAATCACACCCATTCTTTGATCATTGCACTTCTCTCACACCTCAGCACCCAAAAACCTGTCTCCTGGGGTCACTGACCCAGAGGGGAGCTGGAGTGTCCTGGGAATTCCCAGATCTGATGAAAGCAAACAGCCAGGGCAGCTTGGCAGCTGCCTCCTGCAGAGACGGGACACAGGGTCAGGGGTGCCATCTGGCTGGGACAGGGGTGTGAGCTGGATCTCACTCTCTATTCATGGAAAAATCATCGACCAGTGCCCGCGGCTGGCGTCACGCGGAGCTGCCTGGAGGGGATGATTCTAAGTTTCCAAAGGGACTCGGGAAAATGATCCCCATTTGCCCCTACTTGTGAGACGTGACCATTTCATGGCCAAGCTGTTTCCAGACAAGAGCGGTGGACGTGCGTCTGTGTCTCCTCAAGGGCAACCTGATCCTCCCGACCCAGCCCTGACCTCCGGCCGTGTTGAAATGAACTGGACGCGCGTGTCAGCACTGGGTGTTTCAGAAGCTAAAGCCAGTTGCTAAAACCAGCACCCACGCATCAGACCTTTCTCTTTTTTCCGATCCCACCAGAAGGGCCTCCGAGAGCCTGCATGGGCCGTTCATCCCAGGGCAGCAGGCATGGAGGAGGGCTCACGCGTCTGGGTTTGACTCTGGCTCGGCCTTTGTTTGCGCACCTGTAAAATGGAGCCGGGGACACCTGCCCGGTCTGCCCCACCGGGAGTTTGTGAGACTCGAGTGAGAGATGTGTTCGGAGATCCTCTGTGAATTAGTGACATGTGCTCCCAGCCCTGCTTGCATGACTGTGCTGGCGCCTACTGTGTGCGCAGCTCAGTGGCGGCTGGCGCGGGAGCAGAACTTCTCTCCCTGCTATCCGGGCTCAGCCTTCCAGAGTGATCTCAGGGGCTCCCTCGCCCATCCAGAGAGGGCTGTGGGGCCTTGGCTGGTGAAATCCTGTTTCTTGGGGACATGGACAGTCCGGAGAGGTGCTTCCTAAGACCCTTGTTCCTCTCTGTGCCTTTGTGAAGCTTGCCCAAGCAGTGTGCCTTCCTGGACCGGGACATGGGGCAGTGTCTGATGCCACTCTTCCTCTGCCTGCGTCTGCACGGCATCACCAGAGGTGAGCTCCAGCCCTCGCGTGCACCCACAGGGAAGATTTGGGGGGCCTGCCCACCCTCGGCCACGCCTCCAGTCACCCTCTCCCTGAAAGCCCCACCAGACCTTTCCAGAGGAATCAACTGAGACCCGGCTCATCCCATCCGGGCTGGGTGACTCTGGGGAAGTCACTGCCTGGCCTTAGTTTCCTCGTCTGTAAAATGGGGATATGCAGAGCTTCTGTGCAAAGTGATGGTCGAAGAAAGGGGCTTCTCTATTGTGAGGCACCCATGGCTGCCAAGCTGTGTCCCTCCCAAGGGCAGGGCCTCAAGGCAGTGTCCCCTCCAGGTGGCTTGCCTGGCCATGCGGATTGGGGCGGGGGGGGGCGGGGAATTCTGGTCCATGCTCCACACTTGAGCTCCTTCAACCAGAAGCTGGGCCAGGCAAGGCAGCTGCTGCTTGGAAGGAAGAGGGAAATACTGCGGAGCGTGTTTGGGGCAGCCCAGGAGGCCACCCTGTGAGATCTTTGCATCCAGAAGGAACTTTTCCAAAGCCATTTCTGGCTACCCGCTGGCAGGAGTGCTCTGGCACCCAGGGCTGGGTGATGGGGCCAGGGAGTTGTCCAAGTCGCCCTAGTCCGTCCATCACCTGATGTCCATCCTTCCTTCTCAGGCAGGATGGTCCCCTGGGGAGCCAAACCACATGGCTACTGCACACCCGATGATTCCCGGGGTCCTGGGAGGGGAGACCCAGGAAAAGTGGGAAGAAAAATAAAAGCCAAGCAATGAATCGGACCCTTGTGCAGCCCAAATGTCTTCCTGCTATGTTTTTGGTAGTATTTTATTTTTATAATATTGTGAGCACTAAAATATTTTTAGAGCTAGTTCATTGGCCAAAGCTGACCTTGGAGGCCTCCGCTTTGATTGACTGTGGTTCTCAGCCGCCCAGCAGGGGCCCCTGGCAGCCACTGCTTCTTGCAGGGCTTTTGCAACTATATTTCTTTCAAAATACTGTAAGTTAAACTTCAAAGCACCCATCAGTAGGTAGTTCAGACAAGCTCCTAGTGTGGTTGAAACTGCCATCCAATTTGGAGAGAATCTGTCTGTTCCTTTGGATATGTATTTGTGTAAGTTCTTAAACAAGAGTTAATTTGGGGGCCTCCCCGGTGGCGCAGCGGTTGAGCGCTGGGTTGAGCGCTGGGTTGCGAAGCTGCCCGCAGCCTCTGCAGCGCCTGCTCAATCCCCGGCTGCTCCCCGGGCATCGGAGGAGGGTCCCACATGGCGCGCAGACCTCTCCTGCCGCCCGCTGCTCCCCTCAGCAGTGTACTTCGGTCCTTCTGCCTGCTCTGCTCCCCGCTCTGGCTCTGGTGAATTCTCTCACCAGAGAACAAATAAATAAATAAATAAATAAATCTTAAAAAAAAAAAAAAAAAAGTTAATTTGGGATCCAAAAGGAGTGGATTCTGGACACAACCACAGTGGTTCTAAGATTCCTGTTTCCATTTTACCAACGAAACCTGAAATAAGGCCACCCTTATCCCCCAAACCCCCAGCTTCTGGCGGCCCCCTCTCTCCATAAATGAGACTTGTGCGGTTCTGTTGTAAATAAGTCCCTAAAATATTCCCTTCATGTTTCTTCCAAGGCAAGGAGCTGGAGGAGCTGAGGCACATGAACTTGTACCCCGAGTCCTGGCTGGCCCGGGTGACCGCCAACCACTACCACGCGGTGAGCTGCCGGCCCCAGGAAGCGGCCCTGGAGGCCTGGAAGTGGGGGGGTGTCCTTTGGACTTGGCGTTTTCTGGAGCTGTGTGTTTGCATTGGAAACCGTGGGCCTTTGGGTCCTGCGCCTTGGGGGAGGGAGAGCCAGCCTGCAGGGGAGGTGGGAGAGAGCGCAGCCCAGGAGCCCAGATGCTTGGAGCTTCCAACCCATTGACCTGGAGAGGTGGATGAGCAGGGGTTTCCTCATCCTCCAAACTGCGCCCCACAGACACAAATGTACCACGTGCTTATTGGTAAAACTTTTTAAAATGCAGAGAAAGATGGAAGAAAATACCCCCAGACTTATCACTCACAGACAACCATTACTAGCAACCTCTTTGTCTTTTGTCTTTTAGTCTTTTTTTAAAATACGCTTAATGTGCCTCTGAGCATTTTTTATTTAGAAGCCATTTCTTGCAGTAACATTGACTTATAACATGATAGGTTCCAGATGTAGCACATGATAATTCAACATCTGGATATACTACATTAAGTTCAGCACCCAAGGTCTAGTTTCTGTTCTTCACCATGTAACTGATCCCCGCCTTACCCCATTAAATCACCCGGCTCCTTCTAGTAATCACTGTTTTGTTCTTACAGCCTAAGAGTTTGGCTTTGCTTTACTTTTTCACTAGTTTCTTTATCTTCCATATAAAAAGTGAAGGCATGCATTGTTTTTCTCCACCCAGCTTATTTCGCTAAGCCTAAATTCCCTCCAGGTCCACCCATGTCGCAAATGGCAGGATTTCATCCTATTTTTGAATTAATATCTGCATGGTTCCCTTTGGTGGCATATACCCTGTCTTCTTCTGATCACCTGCCAATGAACAGTGGTTGTTCCCAGAACTCGGCCACGGTCGGTGTTGCTGTGATGAGCGTGGGCTCCACGCATCTCTGAACTACTAACACTGTTTCTAATGGCTGCAGACTCTTCTACCAGCATCGGAGTAAATGGCAGAAACGATGCTGCTTTGCCGTTTCTCTGTTGTAGGAAGCTTGCTGTGCTTCTGAGCGCTCACTGTTGCAGTCTGCGAACACATTTGCACGTAATGGTTTAGTTTACTGTACTTAGAGTGATTTCCTTTAGAAGAGTCTCAAGAGTAGAAAACAGAGGTCCAAAAAGGATTGTGCATTTTTCTCTTGATGCATATAATCAAATGTGGGACCAAGTTGCTCCTCCCTGTGCAATAAATGAGTGAAACTTTGGGTGTCCAGCCATGGGGGTGGGGGGAGGGGGCATGGTCATTTCAGACCCTCTTGTTCATTGAGGCGGGAACAATGGCATCTCATTTTTTAATTTGCATTTCCTTTGTTACCAAAAAGTATGAATATTTTTCCATGTGGCATTTCCCCTTTGTGCATTGTCTATGCAAATGGTTGCATTTCTTATGTGATTCTCATCTGGCATTTTTAGAGATGAAGCAGGGCAGTGTTTGAGTTCTAACAAAGTATGAGTCACTAGTTAAAATTCAATTCAGCTCAACAAATACCTATTGTAATGCACACCGAGCCCAGCAGCCCTGCTCAGGAGATCTGGACCCCAGGGAGCCAGGCTTGTCGGGATGGAATTCGGGGGCTATACTCAGGGAGCAGGAGGGACATGGGCTGGACCCCTCAGGAAGACCCCACCTCCTTCACATCCTTCTGCCTGCTCCCCTCCTTCCTCGCCCCTGCTGCTGGGGCCATCCTCCCGAAACCCTCTCCCTCCTCTGCAGCCTGCCCGAGGAGTCTGGGATTAAGGAGGAGCTGTGCGCTCTTGACTTTAAGCCCCTCGGTCACTCTGCCTTAGGATCACCTTAAGTGCACATTTTATTTCCCAACGAGGTGGCTCAGATGCTTTTCTTGTTCTCTTTGCATCCTCTGAGCACTGTAGGTTCTCACTGAAGGCCGTGGCTGGGTGAATGGCTCCCTGTGGGCTTCAGGGCCAGGACTCTGGAGCCAGTGGGCCGTGGGGATCAAGAACCAAAGGGAAGCTGCTATGGGGGTGAGGTGCCCATAAGCTGTGCACTTTTCCCTTTCAGCTGGAGAGTGGGGGCGACATGGCCCACTTGAAGGATCTTACCACCCAGGCTGTGAGATACGGGCTGCTCTTTAACCAGGTACTGGCCGCTGGGCCCAGGCACGGCAGGAACCCTCCCCTCGTGCTGGGTCAAGGACTTAGAACAAGCACTTCTTACCTCTGGTAGGAAGGCCAGGACAGAAGAGGAAATGATAGGTGTTCCCTTCTGGACACACCCCACCCCCTGGGGAAAAAACTTCCAAAGACAGGGGCCTGGAAGAGCTGTTCAGTAACCTGAGGTGCACAACCAACATATCCCCCGAGTGACCACTGTCCCCATCTTTCAAGGAAGGAGACGCTTCCCTGGGATGCAGGGCTTCCTGTTCTAGAATCAGGAAAGGGTGGGCCAGTTGATGAGCTGGTCATTCTATTCCCTCCAAGCATCCGGAGATGCCAGCCGCTCAGGGGGAGACCCTGCTCGCAGCCTGCAATCGAGGTCACCAGGGCGAGCCTCTTCTGGGTGGCTATTCTGATGGGCCCCGCAGCCAAGCAAGCAGTGGGTCAGGGGCTCAGCTGCGAGGCCTCTCAGGTTGGCAGTTGCACTGTCTTGGGGTCCCTCCAGGAAACTGCTGTTCTCCTTGACTTCTTGAAAGTCACCCCAATAGTCACCTCAAAAGGATTCATGGTTTCAATGGTTGGGGGGCCTGAATCTATCATCAGAGTTTCCCCTCCGGGTGGGGCCTTGGGTAGGGTCCAGCCTTATGACCTGCTACAGTGGACAGACTGGCAACCGCGGGGCCCAGACACCTTGGGATCCCAGGGGTGTTTACCCATCACACTGGAGCTTTGTTCCCAAGGCCTGAATCCCCAGTCATCTCCTAAGGACCTGACTACTCATTCTCCTTCCAATAAGGACATGTGGAGTCCATAGGGGTCATCACTGACCACTAACCTATAAAGACAAGTGATGTCCCTAAAATCTGGCTTTTCTCATGCCCCCTAGGCGAGAGGTGCTGGTTGTATTTGAAATCAGTTGTTAGGGCCTCCCTGGTGGCCTAGGGATTAAGTCTCAGCTCTATCACCATGACCGTCTGAGTTCCATCCCCGGCCAGGGAGCTGACCCACACATGGCGCCACAGACCTCTCCTGTCGCCCCACTGCTCCCCTCAGCAGTGTATGTCAGCAAATCTGCCTGTTCTGCTCCCCACTCTGTCTCTGGTGAATCACCCCCCACACCTCTGGCCTGCACCCCCACATCTTCTACGCAAAAAAAAAAAGAAAAAACTATTGAAAAAAAGAAATCAGTGGTTAGACAAATCACTTTTGTTGTAGCTGCAAACCGAGGTGCTCTTGTAACAGGGTGGTCCCCAGGAAAGGGGGAGGTTCCAGGCTTTGGACTGCCCCTCGCCCTGCCCTGTAACACTCTGTCCTCCTGCCTGACGCTTGTTCTCCCTGTTGTTTTATTGTTCACGGTCCTCCATTTAGGAGTACACGACCCATTCAAAAGTGATCGCCATATATGGGTTCTTCTTTGAGATAAAGGGCATCAAACATAACGCGACTGCGTATAGTTTTTGCATGCAGGTAAGGACACAGTGCGGGACGGTGTGTTTCTGAAAGTCTTGTAGATTTGGAGTCAGTTTATAGGCAATGACTAGTAACTGATTAAACATAAATTCATGATTAATTTTTGCCTGTAAATGTTTCTAAGGTTTCAAACTCCTTGAGAAACCCTATCTTATTCACTTTTTTATTATACTGCCCGTCACAGTACGGAGACCCCGGGAGTGCCTGCTTATGCCATGACTGTCTCCCATTTATTTGTCACGAGCACATGCACGGATGAGACACCTGAGCCTCACCCAGCCTCCTCTCCCCGGTGAGAGGCCCGTGGCCAAGCCACGCTCTTCCTCGGGGAGGTCTCTGTCTTCCGTGCCTCAGGCTTCTCCCTCCAGGATGGATTTTACTGGATGGAAGAGCTGAGTTATGGCCCTCTCACATGAACACTGCTGGCTTTAAATGCTGGGGAAGTGACGAGAAGCTCCCATGCAGCTCGTCTTACTGGCGTTTTTCTGGATTTGCTGAACCCCAGTCCATCACGCAGTGATTTATGTGAGGTCAGGGCCCAGATGCCCATTGGCTCAGTGGCCGCCAAGCTCAGGAAACGGGTCCTGAGGAGACACCCTCGTGCTCTCTGCACACATCACACAGTGGGGTCCGCGTGTCGGGAACCCGCTTTCCTAACCCTGGGCCCCCCGGGTTCACGGGACCACACTCCTTGCAGAGGAAAAGGCACACAGACGTGCAGTCGCCCGCCGTGGACTGGGACCTCAGCCCCATCAGCCTGCGAGCCGAACGCCTGGTCAAGTACAGGATCAGCGCCCAGGCCCTGGTGGCCGGCCGGTGGCAGGAGTTCCAGACCAACGAGATCACGCAGAAGTTTGGGTTTGTCAAGCCGTTCTGCAAAAGCCACGTGAGTGGCGCCTCCTCTTCTCTCTTCCTATATTTCCTTTTTGTTCTTTCTCTCCTCCACATCTTTTGGGGGCTCTCTGGCTTCCAATTTCCAGTGACCTTTGGGGAATCGGCTCTGCTCCAAATAATGCTCAAGAGAAATGAGTGTCCTAGAATGAAAAGCTGAGCATACAGAAAGCCACGACCCAGGTCGGCGCGCCTGGTCTGGGTCACACGGGATCCATGTCATAACAGTCAAAGGCCATTTTTGTTTTGGGAGGAGGGTTCAGTGGGAAGCATTGGCCACCACACCCCCACTGCTGCCCGGATGTCACCAGCCACCCCCGCTGAATTCCACGGCTGCACCCACACACCTCGCTCTGGCTCATCAAGGGTCCTGAGCCAGTCAGCTTCAGTGGCCCCCCAGTGTCCAGGTGGACCCCTTACCCTGCCTGGCTCCTGATGGCGCTAGCATTTCCAGAAATTGCTAGAAAGCCTCCATCCTGGAGGAATCCCAGGCTGTGAATTCCAGGATGGAAATCCAGGGTTCCCCTGCAGGGAGTGCACTGTGAGTGAGCCCCCCTAGGTCCAGCTGTATTTGCCAAGTCCCCAAGCCTAAGGCCACCCAGATCTGAGCCTAAATATTTCATTGGGGATCCAGATATTAATCTTTTTAAAAATCTTCCCAAGTTACTCTCTCAAAAATCAGAACAGCAATTTCCTTTGCGGGGGTGGGAGTCGAGGAGGCTGGGGCTTGGGAGGGTTATGAGGCTTCGCAGGTGCCAGAAATGTTCTTTATCATCACCAGCATGTTTACTTGAGAAAGTACACTAAGCTGTGTCCCTAAGGTCTGTGTGCTTTTTAAAGTACACCCACCTTTTCAAGTTTCTTTCACAAACCTTTCCCAGGTGATTCTAACTGGCGGAGTTGAGAAGGGTCCACACACACCTTAGGCCTGTCTCTTCCCCTTCCAGATGGTGGCTGGGTTTATCCTAAAACCCCCTTCTGCTTCACTTCCTAGGTCTTGAAAATCCAAACTGTGGGGACCCCAATCTATGCAACTTTTTCCTTCATCTTCCCATCATCTTGAGTTTCCAGAAGAATCTGTGGAATTATTTTATCTTCCACCCTAGTATAAAGAAAAATAAAATGACATTAAAGGGACTGCTCAAGTACCTGGCTGCCTTTCCTGGCTACTGGAGCTTTCCTTAGAACTTCTGCCCGTTTTCTTAGTCTGCTCGGGTGGCTATAGCAAAACCCGCAGCCTGGGTGCCTTTCAAACAGTGGAAATGTATTTCTCACACTTCTGGAGGCTGCAAGTCCAAGATCAAGATGTCAGCACATTTGGTGTGGTGGGCCTGTTCCCACATGGGGGTTGCTGAGCAGGCTCCCTAGGCCATTTCTCAGAGCACTAATCCCATTCTAGGATGGGCACCTGCATGGTCGCCTTCCAAAGCCCCCCACCTCTTAATACCATCACCTTGGGGGTTCAGATTGAATTCTGGGGGGCACACTCAGACCATCCTATCCACATGGGCATCATTCAAGGATGGACAGAGTCACGAGTCCATTTGCCAGCATTGACCCCCACTTTGCTCGGAGCACCAATGGGAGCACCCTTCCCCAGCAGAGAGCACCAAGCATCCCCTTTGCATGAGCACCTGGGGCTGAGGAAAGGGGACGGGCCTGCAGGTGGGGGCTGGTGGGAAGTGGCTCACGGGTGGAGATCACACAGGTGGGGCGGGCTGGTCTCCTGCCCTCAGCTCGGGAGCACAAACTGCACCAGGCCCCGAGGGAGAAGCTGTGCACCTGTGTTTTAACAGGCTTCCTGGGGGATCCAGATGCAGGAGGTGGGCGGCTATAAGGGGCAGAATAGACACTGAGCAGGTTTTCTGACCCAGCAGACCGGGTGAAGGAGGATTCAGAGTCCGCAGTGGCTTTTGCAGGACTTTTATTTAGATTTACCAGGCACATGGCAGGCAGGGGTGCTGGGGGCCGGGAGGCTGGCAAGCCTCCCGGCCCCCAGCCAATCCTCACTCTATCTGGGCTCTCTCTGGCCTTCTCTCTGCTTCTCTTCTTCTTCTCTCGGCTTCTGCTGGCGTCCCCGTGACGCCACCCTTATAAACTCAGTCTCTCAGCCCAGGTGTACCCACTCTAGGTGCCTGCCATCGGGCATGCATTCAGGACCGCAGGGTTCCCTCATCTATCCTAATGGCGGGAGGGCAGAAAAGCCTGATACTTTTTCCTTACCCTACAGCGGCCACATCCCAAAAAACGACTCCAGCCTGGAAACCTCCCTGCCACAACAGGGTCCCCGCTGTACCCACACACCAATTGTCTTCTTTAACCGGGGGCGGGGGCGGAAAGGCCATACAACAAAGCCCTGAATCCATTTCCACAACACTGGCTGACGGGACCGATTTTGGTTTGAAAACCAAATTCCCCAGAGTAAGAGAGAAACAATCTAGCTGGGAAGCCGTTGCCTTTGCTCTAACCCAGAGTCCGCCCCTTTCCACGAGGGGGCGAAAGCCGACACGAAAACAGGAACCGGAGTTCGGAGGCCGAAATTTGTGAGCTAGAACTCTGCCTTCCAGCTCACAGGGATCCTGGCTTAGTGGTTGAAAGGAAGCTCTGTACCTCCCGGTGAGTCTCTCTCCTGCAAAGTCTCTGGTCCTTGTGTGATGTGTTCGCATCACAAAAAGTCCGCGTTTGGAGCATAAGTCTTGAGACAAAAATGCTTAAGATGAGCTTAAAACTCGTTACATATGAGAACTTCTTAGATGAGAATTAAAAAACCCAGCACTGGTCAGGACAACACTTCATGTGCGTCTCTCGGTTTCTCCCTCCTCTCGCCGCCTGGCCCACCTCCCAGGCCCTCACCTCCAATCACATGGCCTAAGATGTACTCTGTGCACAGCGACTCTCTTGCATCCTGAAATCCGGCAGACAAGGATCTGTGTCCTAATTCCACCCCTGACTGGCTGTGTGGCCTTAGGTAAATCACCTAACCTCTCTGAGCCTCAGAACCAAATCTGAAGTTCAAAAAAATAAACAAACAAAAAAAACATGTGGTCCATTCAAATAAATTGATGGGTGGTTTTAAAACACCTAACCCTAGTTGGTGCTTAATACAATTTATTCCTGCTCCTCCCTTGCTGCTTGCAGTCATGTTATGTTCAGGATCCAGGTGAGCCCTCTGTGATCTTGGGCAAAGACTTTCTCCTCTGGGCCTGCCTCCCCTGATGCAACATGAAAAGCTTAAACTGGGAGCTTGCCCCAGACCTTTCCAGCTGCAGTCACAGGGTTCTCTGCTTCCAGGAGTGGACACTGGAGCTGCCTCACCATCTCAGGGGCTCATCAGAATGACAGTGAATTAGAAAGAGAAAGAGGGGCTTTTTCCTCCCCCCTTTACAGGGTTTTGCATCCTGAAGCCTGGAGAGAGCAGAGCAAGTTTGTGCCCTTTTATAAGCCTGTGATAAGGAGAGCTGGGCTTGCTGAGCTGGGAGGATGACTCTAGGCTGCCCTGGGACTGGGTAGGGAAGTCCAGCACTCACTTGCACACCAGATGGTGCAGGATGTGGTGGAGACCTGCCCACGGGGCCTGAGGCAGTGATTAATGGGAGACAGGGAAGTACACACACACACAAACACACACACACACACACACACGCACGCACGCACGCACGCACGCGCACACACACGCACACACCGCCCCTGCCCTGAGGCAGAGGCAGGAGGACCCTCTGTGAGGGAAAGTGGAATTTTCTGCAACAATAGGAGAGTCCCAGATCCATCTGAGCCACTGACCACCTATGGCCTCTGACTCCTTGATACGTGGCTAGTGCAGCTGAGAAAATGAGCAGGGTGAAGACGGCCCCTCCACAGATTCCTGATTCTGGAGAGGCTGCAGAGTTCTGAGCCTCTCCCCAGGGCTGCAGAGGAACCCTGGGGCCAGCATCAAGCCATGTTCAACGCCCTATAAAAGCCTGCCTCCTCCTGGCAACATGCACAACTTCACAAACCCCCACCTTGGGTCTGTGAATTCCGCCCGGGGAGTGCAATACATTTTCCCTTCCTTTGAGAAAGCTTGGCCTCGCTCTCCTTTTCTTTGCTGCGCCGACCTTTCACATACTGGACATTTACACAGACAACTTGATGATGTAAAACACTTTTAAAAATCAGTGGGCTTCAATAAACATACTGAGGACTCTAATGTTCAGAAGTTGGGGGGAGGGAAAGGGACTAGGGGATATGAGGGGTGTTGATGCGGGGGGAGAGTAAAAAATAAATATAAGTGAAAAATGATTTTAGTCAGTGAAAAAATTAAATCTCTATGGAGAGATGACCTAGACATATTGAATGGTAAAAGCCAGATACAGAAAAATGGGATCATTTTAAATATATGTAATTTTAATAAAGCAAACCCGTCAACACCATTCATTCATTTAAAAGTGTTTATTGCGCAGAGGTGGTGGGTGGTGCAGAGGTTCAAGACAGAGCACTATCAAGTTATCCCCAACCTCTGCAGCACAAGTTCGATCCCCAGCCAGGGAGCTACCCACATGGCGCAGCAGACCTCTCCTGTCTTGCCCGCTGCTCCCCTCAGCAGTCTATTTCAGTCAATCTGCCTGTTCTGCTCCCCACTCTGTCTCTGGTGAATCCCCTCACCCTCTGCACCTCTGGCCTGCATGCCAGTTCTTGCGTGCATAAATAAATAAATCTTTGAAAAATAAAAATGTTTATTGAGCATCTATAACATTTCAGGCACTGCTCAATACCTGATTCTGTCCAGTGTGCTGGATGTAACATAAATTGTTTGGGAAGGAAGAGCAGGGAAGCCCATGAGTCTGGCTACCATGGGGATGACAGTGATTAGAAAAGATGATGAAAATTGGCAAAAGGACTAAAATAATGGCCCCACTGTCTGAGTCATGCAGTCTGGACCCGAAGGGCCCTTGCTGCATGCGCTCTTGCCCCCTGAGAAGTCTGCAGTCACGTGGACCCAGCCAGGCCTGCCTTTCGGGGTCACAGGAGGAGAGCCGAGGTCCAACGACGAACACCCATTGCCAGACTTGTGACCGAGGCCTCCTGGAACCTTCCAGCCAAGCACACCCTCCATTGGAGCCCCAGGAGGGGATAGGATTTCTCAGCCAGCCCTCTGACTCATGACAAGTAATTTATGTGTTTTAAGCCATTGAGTTTGGGGTTGTTTCTGTGACCCAGCAATAGACTCAAGTTCATGCCCTTCTGATTGGAGGGATGGCAGGGGTCGATGTGGTGAATGGTGCTGGAACGATGCTGCTGGGCGAGGTGTGGTAACTGCACATGGACAATCAGTAAACATTGCATTAAAACTAAATAAATAAAAATCTGTAAAAAAAAAAAAAAAGATTAAACACGTCCATTTTAGGTATTTGTAATACTAAAATCAAAATCCAGAAAAGAGTCCATGATTTTGCTACAAAGGTGTTCCTTGCATCACGGTTTCCAAGACACAAAAAACAGCAGCGGGGTCTTAAATGTCTGAGGGCAAGAACACAGCATCTCTGGAGGGACAGGCAATAAAAAGAAAGAGTATGGTACCTCTGTACAGCATGCAGCTAAAAAGATACTGGTCAAGCCTTCTCTTTTTTTTAAGATTTATTTATTTAGGGCCTCCCCGGTGGCGCAGCAGTTGAGCGCTGGGTTGCGAAGCTGCCTGCGGCCTCTGTGGCGCCGGTTCGATCCCCGGCTGCTCCCCGGCCAACCGAGGAGGGTCCTGCATGGCGTGCAGACCTCTCCTGCCGCCCGCTGCTCCCCTCAGCAGTGTACTTCGGTCCTTCTGCCTGCTCTGCTCCCCGCTCTGGCTCTGGTGAATTCTCTCACCCTCCCGCGCTTCTGACTGCACCCAGTGCATGTATAAACAAAACAAACAAACAAACAAATAAATAACATGAATAAAAAAAAAGATTTATTTATGCATACAAGAGCTGGGGTACAGGTCACAGACGCAGGGGGTGAGAGGATTCACCAGAGACAGGGTGGGGAGCAGAACAGACAGACTGACTGAAATACACTGCTGAGGGGAGCAGCAGGCAAGACAGGAGAGGTCTGCTGCACCATGTGGGTTGCTCCCTGGCTGGCCAGGGATCAAACTCCTGCTGCAGTGGCTGGCGATAGCTTAATAGTGCTGTCTTTAACCCCTGTGCCACCAG